CAAACAGGTAGTTTGGGAACTACTGGTCAAAATCCCATCAAAGCACGGTACGATCCAGCCAATGGACCACCAGTGCATCCAGGACCGACATGTCTGGAATTCCAGTGGCAGGAATATCTCCTAGAAATGAATCTCTACGCGCTGTATAATTCTGCACAACCAGAATTGGAAAAAGAGGAATTACAGCTGGGAGAAATCCGACCATTCGCAGGAGATAAGCGAACGTTTATGTCATTCCTCCAGGCTGGAGAACGACATCTCCAGGCAAACATCCACATATACAATGACGACTATAGTCAGATCACGTTCATCCTATCCCACTTCGAACCTGGTTCTGCAGCAGCAAAATGGGTCGAATCATGGGAAGCAGCGATGATCGCATCTACAGGAAGATCGGATGATCTGGGACTTTATCGCGACTTTCGGATGACACTCCAAGAAAAGTATGGAGGAGTCGCAACCAAGGACCAAGCATGGCAAACGTTACTCGACAACCAGTGTAGGCAGAAGAAAGGAAAGGTCGACGATTACATCGGGAATCTCGACATCCTATTTCGCTACGCCGAAATCGACGACGACTATACCAAGCTCGTCCATTTCAAGCGAGGCTTGGAAACGAAGTTGGCAGAAAAAGTATTCCTTACTCCGTCTCCTCCAACCACGTACGAGGATGCTTGCGACAGTGCAAGACAAGTCAACGACCTTCGAAATGCCCATAAGGGAAAAAGCAATATCTTCGATTTCATCACACATGCGAATCATGGTGATTCAATGGATAAAGAAGAGTCGATGGATATAGACGATCCCAATGCAATGGATGTCGATAGGGCACGACGAATACGACAAACACGGAGCCTTCCAGTTAAGAAACGCCTATGCTATAGGTGCAGGAAGCCAGGACACGAAATGGATCAATGTTCCGCAAAGAAGCCAAACATCGATCGAACTTTGCCTGTACAAGTCGTATCAAAGAAGAAGAAAAAGAAGCCTTCTTCAATTAAGAAGAAGGATGAGCGCGCATCTACCGGATCAAAAGAACCCTCAAATGATCCGCCGATCACGAAGAAGATGCAAAAGAAGATTGAGCAACTAGTAACGAAGTTGGTCAATGCAAAGCTTGTCAAGCTTCTTCTCGGAGGTGACAATCGAGACCACCATGTCGATCAGAAAAAGAAGGAAGCCGAAGAAGATGATGATGAACCTATGGATATCGATCGAATGTCTGAACATATTCTTGGCATGAATACCATTCGAATTGGCGCCATACGAACTCATTCATCGCATAACGACCAAACAGCCTTCCCTACGTCAATATGGAAGGAAGTGCTTATGGCATCGCTTGATCTCAGTCAAAAAGAATGGTGTGGTATCAAGGCCATTGTCCAAAGGAAATTTGACAAGAGACGGCAAGGAAATGACGATGAAAGTACTTCATCTTCTACATCTTCCTTTTCAGCAGACAGCGTGCCTCGACGACGTATGGAGACATGTCCTAACCAGAAAAGCAAACAGAAGAGGACAAAGCAGCGGCAGTCGACTAAGTCAGGCCAGCAGTCCTCACCATCCATTAACCAATGGATCAATCAGCCATTCAAAGGAACTTGCGATGATTCTCGCCGCTCACAACCAGGACAAGGACAGTTCTCTGGTCGATGCTGGAACTGTAATCGTATCGGACATCACGCATTTGAATGCCCAAAGCCGCCGCGGAAGGATGTTACTCCTGAAAACAGTAACCAATCAAGGTCACGACCATTGCGAAAGAACGACCGATGGAATGCAGGACGAATCCCTGATTCGCTATCACCTAAGCATCCCAAGTCAGCCTACGTATGAAATTCCAGTATTGATTCTTCGAATCCAAGCACTGGCAGCAATGCGAAGCAAGGAACTTCCCCAAGTCCCTCAAACCCTCAAGCGCATCGCAGTGGACGGACCATCGAGTTGTTTAACAGTGATTCCGAATCATCAAGCGCCAATCAGACTTCTTGAGCTGATCAAGTCGAAAGGAGATACCAGTCTCTGGGCAGCCCTGCGCCGGAACAATCAAGCATCAGCACGAATGATGAATCCTCTGAATCGCACGACGGCTCCACGCATACTGTTTCAAGAATCCTTCCTTCCTCGAAGCGGAAGTGCAGACGGAGAAGACAGGATCTTGTGGTTTAATCACCAAGGGTCTTGGCGGTTGGAGAGGGAAGCTTGTGTTACGAAACGTACCGTCGCGCATGGTCACGTGGTTCCCATGAACAAGCGCCTAGAAGAGACGCCCAATCACGGTCAGGTGATATCAGTCACTATGTGACCGAAGACAGCTTCTAGTCACTATGTGACCGAGAACAACTTCTAGGGTTCTCAAACTCTAACTCCAGGATCTGCGATCCAGGACTTTGGTTCTCATTTCATATTTCAGGTATTTCACCTATGCTTTCCTTAGCTCGCCAACTACCTGGCTCGCAGCAGTTACGCTCCGGTGTGTTTCACCTATCTTTATCACTGAGGCAGTGTAAAGGACCCCTTGTACTAGTACCCCAGACTATAGGTCTGCGACTATATAAAGGGGCGGAGCAGCAGCTGGAAGATAACCTCTTCCACCTGTGACTCTGAACGTTCTCAGTTCTAGAACCCTCGTGCAATCGTACTCGCTCTCAAGAGGTAGTAAGCTCGTACGCTTGCTAGAGTCAGAACAGCGAACCTAGTAACCTGCGGGTGAACGTGCAGTAGCTGTAGCGGCCAAGGCCTAGCAAGGGTAGAGTGAGGACCTCACTGCTACATCGTCTACTAGGCTTGACCACACTATAAACCCTGCTAATAGTCTGCTTGACTATTGGAGACGTCAGGTATATTTGGTATCTGAGTCTCTGTCCACGTTGTGGACTAGTACGTGTGAGAAAGCACACGTGGTTCTGAACGTTCTAGCAGGGAACGCTTCATAACAGCTACGCATAAGATCGACGCGGATGTTTGGTCCGGTGATTCGAGCCATACGGTCCATTCCCTGTTTCAACCAGGGGTACAGTTGCTCCTGATTCTCCTCGTCTGATGCATCTATGACATATTCGATCACGAAACCCGGTAAGTTGCTGATGTAGTCGAGTATCACATCCCACTGACTATGTGGCGTGTATAGATCGTAGTGATTAGGCTGCCACAAAGCGTTGACGAGTAATAGTCTGGCAGCAGCGGAACCGGACAGTATGGTGCCGGTGTCGCACATCATGGCGTGGAAGTCGTCAGTGTCCTCGGAGACGATGCAAACCGGTGAACGTAACAGTTGCATGAATAGAAAGCAAATATGATGAACCGAACATGACGGAGAACCCGCTGACATCGTCGGAAAGACAGATGCAAGATCTTCAATTGGCTCCCCCCACTGGAGGAGTAGCCAGGCCCGTAACGCGATGCGACCGCACATGCTTAAAATTGCCACCCCCCACCGGGAGGGTGCTATAGACATGAGCATAATGAATACGCGAATCATGTAACCTGTTCACCGAAGACGGCAGAGGTGGCGGTGGAGGAATGAACAAGAACAAACAGGTGTAGTACACAACGAGAGCAACGACTGTGAAGGAAGGAGACACGACATAATCAGCGCTGCAGACATCGCCACAGAGGAGTGGACAAACGTACCGGTGAAGCAGATATGGAATGCGTTAATAATACACCTGGTGAACGACATGGAGAGTGACATGAGGATGTCCAGCACAGAGAAGACAGGAGGTAGAAAGCAATGAGGCCTCACAGCCTGCACAGATTTATTTTTCCACAGGAAACCTGATGAAAAAATGGTGAAAATATTTTAAGCCTGGATATGGAAATAGTTTGGAAATTAGGTGGAAACAATTGAATTATGTTACAATTGCTTCACCGAAACATATCGGTATCACATATTTTTGGACTGAAATATCTTCCTTTGGAAAATAGTTTCACTATTGCTGATACGTTTCGGTAAAACAATTGTAACATCATTTAATTGTCTCCGCCCAATTTCCAAACTATTTCCATATCCAGACATAAGATATTTTCACCATTTTTGCATCAGGTTTCCCGTGAAAAAATAAATCTATGCAGGCTGTGCCTGAGGAGCCGGATATCGCGAATGAGGGCAAGTTGTGGAATGAAAACAATATTTCGTAGGAGGAAATATTCCGTATGAACCAAAGCAATATTTCGTATGAACCGTGCACAAAACGGGCCGAATCGCAACTTAGGGATCACGTAAGCACAGGCCATCCCCGTACGTCAATAGCCAAATTTGTCATTTGGAATTAATCCCAGCACGTGCTCAGACGCTCTCTCGTGGAAGTTGAAGTTGAAGAACGCGTCTCAGCACTCGTCTCTGATAAGAATCACCGTATATGCTACAGACATACGCCCATTCCAGCAAAAGCAGCCCGGAACAGACAGGATGGGATTTCACGTTTTCAACCGTGATTTCCGAGGCAAGAGCACGGTTCAGGAATGTTCCAAGGCAAAAGATAGATCAATTCTCCTTGGATCTGTGTTTAGTCGCACAGTCAATCCGGTGCGCTTGACGAAAAGTATCGTCGCTATTTATTTACAGACCTGACTGCCATTTTAATAATTATCATAACCGTTGAACAATATGCATTTGCTTAGCTAGTGCGGGATATTTATTTGACGCATTTGCTCTGCGGCAGTCAAGAAACAATCTTGTAAGGAGATTCACCGAATTGGTGACACATTTACGTCAGGTCATTAATCTGTATCACCATTTCGCACGTAACTATCCTCCCGTGCGAGTTTTGGAGTTGTACAGCCTGACACCATCTCATGCAGCTACTTCCTGCTTTCAATGATATTATCCTCGTGCTAGAGGAGAACACGGATCAGATCTTCTTCATGAATGTTACTCTCCTGCAATCTCAATGTCAATTACCCTACTGTGGGGACATTCCGCCAAGTCCAGAATGCGCCATCAGCGACTGGACCTCCTTCGTTCGGCTTGCCGATCCTCCTGTTTTGGTGAGTGCGGCGGCCGTGGCTCGCCCCATTGACACTTGTCTTCTATCCGCTCCGCTCATCGTCTTCTCCCGCATTTATTGCACCTAGATGCCTGCTCCCCCCAGCCGAATCCCGATTCTACATTCCGAATTATGTGAGCGCGCCAAGTTGGACCGCTCGCACACGGCTGTCGCGCTGTCACTCTCGCCCACACTCGATATCACAGAAGTCGTTCCACTCGCCGCAGTTCTCCTCGAATACCCGATTGCATATGTTCCCATATCGTCGGATCAAAGTTCGTTTTTGGCGGGAGTACCGCTCGATGTCTACACATGCGCACTCGTTCAGCCCTTCCGAGATGATGGACGAACAGCCAAAGTCACGCAAGAACATATCCTCATGAGGTTTTCATGTCCTTGTGGAATAGGCCAGAGAGAGGCGGAGCTATCACCTTCCAGGACCACGGAGAGATTGAAAGACCGGTTCGGCGGCAGACTTAGCGGAGCGGGTTGCTCGGACGATCTCATAGTGCGGCATACCATGGAAACCCATGATCGTGTCTCTCTATAGCAAGAGCACAGTAAGCACATTCGTATGCGCATGTCTGCGTCACATTAATGCCTATCCTAAAGGTACGTTAGAGTCCATTGATCCGCTACTCCACATCAATATTGGTAATTTTGATATCCTCATAGGGTTTGTCCAACTTGTTCGTCTTGACATTTTCTATCGCATGCACTACCTCCAACCCTGACAAAACGCGACCGAAGATGGTGTGCTTCTTGTCCAGCCACGGCGTAGCCGTCGTTGTGATGAAAAACTGGGAGCCATTTGTGTTCGGTCCAGCGTTCGCCATGCTAACCGTGTACGGCCTGTGCGGACGTCAGTGTCCGCCTGCGCCGTAAGATCTCCGATTCGACTCACCTATCATGTTTCAAGTCGTCAGAGAATTCATCCTCGAATTCCCTGCCCCAAATGGACGTGCCACCCGTCCCGTCTCCTAACGGGTCGCCTGTTTGAATCATAAACTTCGGGATGACACGGTGGAAGATGACGCCCTCGAAGTAACCGCTCCGCGCGTGACCGACAAAATTTTCCACCGCCTTCGGCGCCTGCTGAGGGAACAGTCTCAGGTGCATATCTCCCAGGGTCGTGTGAATGGTAGCGGCGTTTGCTAGAGGCGATGGTCCGCCCTTCCCTAGCTCGGCCGTTGATGATGCAATCGTCTGTTCTTCGCGGGTTGGCCGCTCATTGAAGATGTCTCGATCTCCGGATTTATCATCCCTGATGGAGAAAACGCTTAGCGTCGGGTCTCCAAGGTCAATGATGTGAAGCACTCACTCCGGCTCCGATCGCGTGAATAGATAGAACCGCTGGCGCTTGTATCCCGTACAGACGAGGGTAGGATCGCGTATAGCTTTCTCCGCCAGCAAAGGGTTAGCAGAAGCGGCGGCGGCCTACTATTATTAGCAGATGCGCGTAATCAAAGCTACCCGAGAGAACTAACCGCTGTCGTCAGACCCTTCTTTGCCGGGGCGCCTTGATAGAGTGTGAGGTTCATGAACCTAACTGTCTCATCTTTGCCTAACAGTCTCACAACACGATTTGTAACCGTGTTCACGACTGTTTCTTGAAATGAGCCCGAGTGCATCCCATACTTCAAATAGTTAACATACCCTTGATTCCAAGCAAGGTCGGATACAGCACGAACGCGCCTGTCTCATCCCAGATCGCGTTGCACCATCTGCCTGGTATTGTTCCGTCTGGCCCTGGCAGCTCCAGCTCCCTCTCCGCCGCCAGACGACGGCCGAACTCCATGTCTTCTACTTTGTAAATGGCTGTTCCGGCTTGTTGCATTTCCTGGATGGCTTCCAACGATTCGTCATACTTGCGCGTCAACTTTCCTGACAGGAATGAGAATATACGAATCTGACGGTCCGGAAGGGAGAATGTAATGAAGGACGAGGAGTCTGGTGAGAGCGTGACGCATGTCGGCGTTGATTTAGACTTTAACGAAGCTAAGTTCAGAAGAACACGACAAGGAAGAAACATTATTGTGTGTTACCTTCTTGAACTCGTACAAATCAGTCGCATTTTTGAATGTCCACAAGCCATGGACATTCTTCGGCAGCTCGAATGGCTCAATGGGGTTCCAGTACTCGACAAATCCACCTTCATCTGCGGAGACTACGGTATCGTACCTGTCGCTAAACTGAAAATACGGTCGATAACGTGTCTCGATGGATATTAACGAATGAGACTTGCCGTCATGATGTGCACGGGGAACCTGTGCAACTTGTCGATGGTCTCCAAAGGCTGACCATTCCCGCGACCGTCGTACAGCCGGATCGTGCCACTGTCTCGTTCTGAGCTGAAATATCATTAATTGAGCCAACTCATCGTGAGGACAAGTGTGCTCACACTGCTAGGAGCCCTTGCGCTTGTCCCCTTCGGTGAACCCAGCAGCAAGCATGCGGAGTGTAGCCGAACTTAATCATGTTGATCATGTCTATCATCCTGCGTTAGTGACAGGAAAGGTGCATGAGAAAAGGCCTTCATACCGAAGTTGACGACATCGAAGACCTTCGCCGTGCGGTCCTCCGCGATGCTCGCGAACAGCTGCCCATCTGTACTTGCAGACACACCAATGATAGGAGCGAGGTGGGCACGGTAGTGCTTTACAAATTCAATCCCCTGCTCTTGCTTCTTCCACAGCTTGAGGTGACCATCAATAGATGTTGTCAGAAGGAAGTCCGTTCTGGAGAATTATGTCAACGCGCGCAGACCGGCTCAAGGAGACACCGCATACTTTGTCATAACACAGAAGTTGATGACATCCCTGTGCATGAAACTCTTGTAGTATCTGTCTGCACTCGGGAGGTGATCCAGATATAGTTTCTCATGAGGGAGCACTACGAAGAGATCTCTTGTTCAGCGTGCATGGCGGTAAGAACATATCCTACTTCACACCTTTGCGCTTTTTCTTCGCAGCGCCATTCCCGTTCCCCTCGGCCGGCATTGGCATCGGTCCCACGTCGTCATCAGACTCTTCCTCCGCTTTTGCCTGTGCGTGCTGTGGCTCGACATCTTCCTGCTTGACCAACTGCTCTTGGGCATTTTCACCACCATTGCGGCTCCTCTTGCCGAGAACGGGACTCTCTCGCTCTTCGTCGGACATAGTCATGCAGAAGCTCAGTCAATGTAGCCAGTCGAAAGAGTTGCGTAACAGAGCAGAGTTCAGGTGCCGATGTGAAGCGCCCGCCCAAAGCAGGAGTCTGATCAAAGTCTAGCACCAAGAGTGACCAGCGGTTGTGTCTTCGCATACTCACAATAGCTTGCTCGTCGAAGATGGTCGCTAGCGATGGCCTCAAGTCTGAAAGCGCGAGCTCATCACGTTGGCTAGACTCTGTCGAGGGAGAAATCGCCTTCTTCCGTGCTCTAATGCGCGCAAGACCTGTAGGCATCCACCGCCACTTTCATGTCCTCACAATGCGCAACGCAATTCTCAGAGATACCGGGCACGTAGTCTCGATAGACGACCTATGGGATAAGCTAAGAGCATGCTACGACCTGGAGATCTTGGAAAATATAGTAAGAGCGAAACACAACTATTGCGTCTTCGTGATTGATCAGTTGTTAGGAGACAGATGGCTATGATCCTCCTGGGTACTACAATTCACCATCCCCATCGGCCGTGCCCCTTCGATCCCCGTCTCCGTCAGAAAATCTATCATCACATCCATGGTTCCGCCATGAGTATTCGCTCCCGTCCGATGAGGCATTTGATACCCTCATCTCTATGCGACGCATGCGAGCAACTGCTTCTTTGCCTTCGTCCTCGCCGGCTGCCTCGCCTTCACACCATGCCCGAACGACGTCAGGGACGCGTCAGACTAAGAAAGGACGGAGCAAGTTGAAAAACGTCGCCGGTCTTGTTGGAGGAGACAGCGACAGTAGCGCGTTGACGCAGGAGAGCGGTGACGAAAGTGCTGTCCCCACACCCAGCCTTGCTACAGGGACAGACGTTGGCACTGACTACGCAGACGATGAAGATATGGATGGACGGGATTCCCCAGGTGAGTTGCCTTCGCTATCTGTCCGACGCACTCATCAGAGCATCTATAGGCCCACCCTTAGCATTCAGGCAAGCCAGAAGAGGAGGGAAGGCTTCCAGGAGAGGTAGTGCTGGAAGTCGAGGACGAGGTGCCTCCACGGCGGGAGGCCGAGGCATAAAGCGCAAAAAGAAGTAGCGTGTATCTGAACTTTAGTCAACTCTTCACCACATCGCCACAGGTCACTCGTTGATTAGCCTTTGCCTCCGATTACACTGCTTACCTTCACGCTTGCTAGTTTTTTGGCCATCATTCAGTGCTGTGTCGCTGCTGCTACGTGGCTGTGACGAACTACTACATCTGAGAGTGCTGCTAGCAAGCAATACAGGTCTATATATGCATGATTCTTGGGAGAATTCTCCATGCCGTCAGTGTATTGGTACAGGATCCATCCGCTCTTACACAACCTGCTTCAATCCTCGGTAACATCCATCTTCACTACTTCCTCCGCGGGCTTGTCCAAGGCGGTGTCCTTATTCCGCCTTTCAGCCAGAAATGCATCGATACGTTGCTTAAGCTCAACATCTGTAGAAACACTAAGGTCAGTCCCTGAGCTCGGTGTGGAGGACGAGATGCATACTAGGAATGACGTCTTCGAGGGATAGCGGCATTCGATTGAAGGGATCTTTCGCGTCCGACAGCAGATGCGACTTGATAGTAGAGCGATCAAGGACCGCGTGCGACGAAGGTAGCGTGACTGGATCACGCATGAGAGTATACATGAGCGGGTCTATGGAGGTGCATTGAGCAGATGAAGAACGCATGTCCAGCAAACGACTAACCGAGGAATTCATCAGGAATCTCTCCCAGGTCCTCCTCGGCTTCAATAGTGGCTTTCATCTCTTCAACCTTGACGACAAACATGAGTAGTTTCTCGATTTCGGTGTCGCTCTTGAGGACTCTCCGCTTCGCAATACCAGCTGCATGTTCAAACAGTTCTTTGCGGTAGCTGCGACCGTCCGCTGCAACTGCCCTTGCGAACTCGCCCTGATCGCTCAGGTTAAGATATACCTGTAAGATATCACTGAGAAGCTGCCTGGGGTTGAATTTGTACTTCTCCGGATTCTTCACAATGAGATCTTGACATTTGGGTCCGACCAGTGCATCGAGGTTGTAATCAAGCATGGCAGCGAGACGATCCACAATCTCAGGAACCATGAAGGGCTCCTTCGTCTCACCCGTAAAAAGCTTCAGCAGATCGACTGTCGAGTTGCCTAGTTGCACATAACCGGATGCATGGCGCTCTAGTGTCCGCAGAGCCCCCTCGCGTTCTCGACGATATTGCAAAGACTTCGAGTTGTAAGTCTGAGTGTCCTCCATTTCGGTTTGAATCTCGTGGATCTTCGCCAGTTCGGAGAGTGACTCGTCCATTAGGTAGGTCACATCGTTGATCATCAAGTTCACGAAACGAATGAATTTGTCAATATTATTTCTGCCCGTGACGGTTAGAATCATTGGGTTGAATAAACAGCAATGCTTACTTCGCTTCATCCTTGAGAGCTGCTCGGTGGACCGGATTGTCCCAAATTGCTTTGAATAAGTACGCAATGTTCCGGCTGTTAGGAGAATCAGTGACAGTACATAAGACATGGGGCTATGAAAAGTCACCGAGAGTCTATGTGTGGCATGTCAGCGGCAGCTCAGACAAACGTGACACGTTTGATAGGCCACTCACTGAATTTGTCATAGAACTGTGAGCTGGCACCGGTTTGTTCGACCTCTGTACATTTCCTTAACCCAAATGGATCATGTAGAATACGATCGATGCTCACCTATGTAAAAGTGTGTCAGAGCAGGTATCAGGTACTTCAGCGCCATAGCATGGCTGTTCAGTGTGGCAGCAAGGATGCTGCGGTGCTGACCCCAGCTCAATGTTGCATAGAAAAGGACCTGTACATTCGATTCGAAAGATGCAAAAATGGACAGATGATAATACACTGACCTCCACAAGTTTCGCCTTCAGGAATGGGTTCTTGATATACCAAGTGGACGTGAGAAACGTAAGAGCCCAGATGAGCAGCTCATTCTTGCCAGACAACTCCAGGCTGTCTGGGCTCTGCCTGATGACACTTATAAAAAAGCGACAACAACGATCACAAAATTGCTCTTACCGGACTACGTAGAGCTGATAATCCACGATATCCTCAATGAGATACTCGGGCAGCACCTTGAATGACTGAGGAACCTCCGTGGGTAGGGGCAATCTACAAATGGAATGAGTCTTGAGTCATACGCATGGGCAACATCAAGCATAGCTCACTCTACAGGAGGGTTCGGATGGGAATGTTTAGGGTCCACTTGACGTATCAACCACATAGAGACGAAATTGACGAAGCTAACTGATCGGAAGACAAGCTCGGGCTCCGATAATTGTGTTGTATATGCAAGCTGAGTTGTTAGCACTTTCTCTAACTCAGCCTGTACAGAAAGCACAAGCAATGTTAACGTCCTTTAATGCCTCTTCTGCTTGCGCCTCACCTTGACTGCATTAATCGCATGTTCTGTGCGCGCTTGGAGGGGTGACTACGTGATAGAGTTGAATGTGACAACGGCGTCACAACAAGAACAGAACTCACCCCTCTCCACGACCCATCACCTTCAAGCATCTCTAAGTGCCGATTCATCTCGTCATACTGCCTAGCCAAATCTTCGAAAGTTGAGATCGTCTTCTGGTAGCCATAGTGGTTCATCGCGAGAGTAAGATAGAATATCTCAGATATGAAGTTTGGAGGTCCTGTATAAGATACGTGTGAAGGAATACATCAAACAAGAACGAAATGGCGAGCATACCACCAGTTCCTTCATTCTGCTGTCGCCATTGCTCCGCCTCCTCACTCGTCGCATTGATCCTCGTCTCCTCCTTCAGACTGATACGAGAAGAATGGGCGTAATAGGCCGCGTCGATGCGATCTACCTAGAATCGGGCCATCAGAAAACGCCACCGCGGTATGTCCGTTCTTTTGTACCTTCGTGTAGTTTGCGTCCATAAACGGCTCGCAAAACCGGAATAGAATCGCTTGCGCGTTGACCATGAAACTGTCCGACGCGACGGTCTCCGGTTGCACCTTAGATACAAGTTGCAGTAAGCCTTATTGTACGTAGGCATGAGATTGGCAACTGTACCTGCATTCCGGCCCTCCTGTCATTCAAAGCGACAATACGTGCGAAATACTGTAGGACGGCTTCCCTGGACTCGGGCGAAGCACGAAGGAGGGCGTTAAAGATTTGGAACAACGAGGACTGTTGAAGGCCGTGTGAGCGAACATGATGCAAAGAAACCGAACAATGAGTTTACCTGTAGACTCTTCAGAGTTCCTCGCAGACTCGCTGTTGAAGACTCGACGTCACTTGCAGACCGGTCCTTGGGTTTGGAATAGTACGTGTTCGCAATCGTTGGCTGGTCTTCGTCAGATATGTAGCATCAAATACTTAGCAGAGTTACGCTTACCCACTCCCTCTCAAAGACTCCCAGCTTCAGGAGAGGTCCGAGGAGGCTGACATGTTCGAACGTCGGAGGGGTCGCTCCTTCTGGATTCCAGAGCTGATGCCGCGTAATCATGCAAGCAATGCTCTTGATGCTAACAAGCACCTCCAAGCCGCCAATGACACCTCGCCAGCTGCCATCACCGCCGGCGAGACCCTCGGGACGGAATAGCGACTCGTGAAAACACAGTTGGGTGATCACAGGTCCGAGAACACCGTCGACCTCATTCTCTGGCTCGAATCTCTTCGCGAGATCTTGCAGGAATGGCTCGACTTCGGATGGTGTCAGGGTGTTGGGGGAAGAGGATGTTGAGCCAAGGAGCGGAGCTGACAGAGACGAAAGGGAAAGGAGAGGTGCCACTAGTTCTGGCGGTCCGGGCTCACGCCTGATATGCAATATAGTAAATGAAGTAGTCAAAGCAGTATAGAGCGGTATGACATACCCCGTTGGCTGAGGAAACATCTCTGGCTCTTGTAATGATAATCCAGCATAGGATATGATCAGGTCGCGCAGCTTCTCTAATACTTCATTTGCTCGCTGCACCTCCATAGGCGGATATCCCTATTTATCATGATTAGACGAGCCATGAATGACCGTTGAGGAGATTACCTTCTTGAGTAATGCAGACTTGGAAGAGTTCAGCCGTTTCCAACATCCGACTAGGTATTCAAAGACAGTCTGCTGAGCAGGGAGGGAGGCGATGACAGCAACGTATTCCAGATCATCCCTGATTATTCTCTTAGCGTCATACCACGTTTCAAGGGCGCGGAACTCACGACATGGATTGAGGGTCCAATTCTAACCTAGCAATCAGGACGCGGTCGGCGATGTCGGCTTGCAAACTAATCGGTTTCGAGACATCTGCCAAAGGTTATGGTATGAACGTAGATGTATGATATGTCACACATACTTTGGTCTTCCGACTCAAGCTCGGCTGCCAAATGCTTTAGCCACACGGTCTCCCAGCCACTCTTCTCAGCGGCGTCTTTCTACATGAAAAAGAGCAGTGCATCAGAAGCGGGGATACACATCATATTAAACTGACGAACACTCAGTGTCACATTCAGGACATAGCTGATTGTCTCATTCTCCCAATTAGGGAAATCTAAATGAATAAGCACATTCGGAGCCCTCTTCCTCGGCACGGGGGAAGCGGCTCGGGGTACTTCAGAAGTTCTCTTCTGCACGACTTGCTGAGCGATCTTAGGCTTTGCTGCTTGTGCCGGTGCAGGAGGAGGCGTCGATGAAGTCGATGCAGGCGGTGTGGGGCCTGTGGTCTGCAGCTTCGCCAGTCGCTTCAAGCGAATCTGGAGCACAAGGTTTATCATCTACCATGGAATTTGAGCATGATAAAAACTTACACGGTCAGCATCTTCCTGAGGGTTCGAAGACATGATTGACAAAAAGAATGCGGGTTCACTGCAAGTTGGTGAATGTCGAGTGGCCTGAACGTGATCGAATACACGTGGTAGGCGCCCATGGGACGCGTGTTAGCGATGCACGTGACCTGAAAGTCAAGACCTGCCCCTCCAATTTAGCGTCATCTCTGGCAAGTACTCATCCGCTAGCCCAAGATCGCAATGTTCTCATTCTACACCCGGGTACTGTCCACGACACGTCTGTTTTCAACGTCTGCTTTTGCACAGTATCCGAAGTTGAAGAGCCACTCGGGCACGAAGAAGCGTTGGCGGTCCATCGCTTCGGGCGCGTTCAAACGGGTACGTGATGAAGCTAATACTCATGCATCATTCTGACCGACTATCGATTGGTTAGAAACATGCTGGACACAAACATTTGAACGTCAACAAGAGCTCGGCCAGGAAGAACTTCTTGGGGCAGACCACCTATTCTGAAGGCTCGCAAACGTCGAAGTTGCGAAAGCTTTTGCCGTACGGCTCACATTGAACGATGACTTCCAAAATCCCGTGTGCATTGAACTTTAAGGCTCAATGGTATACATCCCTTGTAGTTTCTACCGAAGTCCATCTGACCCCCCTCCCGGCTAGCGGATTGTCTTTTGATACTAGACTAGATACCCTGTGATGTCTTCCCAGTGGTGTCGTCGCAGGGAGGCACATCTCACTCAATCATCACACCAACTTCGTCATGCGCATTGCTCTCGCTACGCCCTTCCTCGGCTGGGGTTCCACCTCCGCCAAAGAAGAATCGGATATCCTGCTGGTTGGGATCGTGCGCTGCGCTTCCAATGCCACCTTTCTGCCGAGCCTGAAGGGAGAGAGGGCTTTGAGCGAGCGTCGGCTTACATAGGAACAGACTGCTCACCACTTTCTCTAGGTGTTCATGTCGGTTAAAATCGATTACCTTGATCTCGAGGGGCGGATAATCACCATCCGCGGTCGCCCCCTCAGTCGCATTCTTATCCGCGAAAATCAGCCAAAACGGCACTTCATGCATTCGGAAACGCACCATCACATTGACCGCAACTCTAGTCCAGGCCGTATTCAACAGTCCTTTGTACTTGTTCTCGTGGCGCACACCGCTTGCATTCCTGCTAAGCAGTGCTGTGACGAGCTCGCTGATGCAAAGCCCATGGCTGACAATGGCTACATGGATCCCTTTATCACCAGCCTTCATTGCCTGCCAAACATACGGCATCATGAGAGAGTCGACGGCTTGTTGCGCTCTCTCTGCTAGGTCATCCAGGCTTTCACCTTCCGGGAACCTTTGGTGACGTTCGCGCAGCACTGGGTATATGTCACGGGCGAAGTGCTCTTCCACTGACAGACCGGCTTCGTATTGCAACGACCAGGGCTTGCCTTCTGCGACGCCCCAGTATTGCTCGCGCAACAGCAGAGATGTGGTGAGTGAAGGATGTGGCTCCTTCTGGGCATCCCGAACGGCTTGCGCGGTCCAAAGGGCGCGCTTGAGGGGTGAGGCGTGCATTGCAATGAACTGAATATTTGAAAGAGACTTTCCCAATGCTTTGGCTTGCTGTGTATTTGGTAGTGAGTACTCGCATACATGCGTGCGAGTAAACGGTGACGACTTGCGTTCATGCCTATGACAGTATGAGACTGTGTCGGTACTTTTATGAGTATTGCTAATTCTCACCATGGTTAGATAGTGGCGAATCTTTCCATCCAGCCCATACGCTTTGCTGGGAGTCACGGAACCGTGAGAAGTTGAGGGTGGCTGAAGTACTAATTCCTACTCACCAGGTTGTCCGTTGACTCTCCGTGCCGGATCTGCTGCACATGTCAAAATCATTGCTTTCAGTAAGCTGTCCTTGCTCACGAAGGTGAACGTCACAACGGAAGAGTCAGACATGATGGGAAAGTACACTCAGTGACGGTCCGCATGTGCCGCCACCCACGCCTTTAAGCAGCGGCCATCAGAAAGCGCCTGAACGCACGTTGACGTTGGAGCACGTGATTGCACGCTGGGCCTTGCCAAATTCGTCTTGGCCCGGAACGTTCCAGTGGCTGCTCGCAGCTAATTCACCGCCCCAGCTTGCGTGTCTCCTTCATGAGGCCGCGCGTCCTCCAGCTCTGCTGACTACATATACCCTATCTCATTGCATTCACCCCTTCAAGACCTTGACCCGCGATACCACACTTGCGACGATACCTCGTCATGTCTAGCTCATCGACTCCCCAACGCGACGTTCAGCTCCTGGAAATCGGCAAACAATGCTCTGCTTCATCGTGTCTCTTGGTGGACTTCTTGTCATTCAAATGCCAATACTGTAAACATTCTTTCTGTCGTGAGCATTACCTCCCGGATGCGCATAAATGCGATCAATACGATGCGACCAAAGCTAACCGGGTAGCGCCGCCTTGTGAGTACGATTCATCTACGTCTGACGTGCTTTACTGAGAAATGCTTCCGTCTCCAGGCCCACTTTGTAACACCCCTGTGGCAATCCCTCCTGGGCAGGATCCCAACGTTCGAATGGAGGCTCACATCAACACGGAATGTTCTGTCATGACTGGAAAGTCTCGCAAGTCCTCCACTCCCACTTGTGCGAGGCCAAAGTGCGGAAAAGTGTTGTTCTCTCCAATCCCATGTGACGTACGTGTTGATCCCCATAACTTTGACTGCTCCTTCTAACTGTAAATTCTGATAGAAATGCAAGCAGCAGTTCTGCCCGCAGCACCGGTTTCCTGCATCCCATAAATGCGGTTCGTTGGCTACGTCCACAAAGCCATCATCTACAACGACAGAGCAGCGGCTCGCCAACGTCTCGGCGCAGACATCAGTGATCAGTGCTGCTGCTGTCACTGCCATTCAGCGCGCCATGGCGTCGGCGAACTCGTCGTCAAGTTCGTTGACGTCTCGTGGATTGACACCTATAATGCAGGCTCGCCCGCAGCCCCCGCCAGTCTCGCAGACTTCGACATCATCTTCATCATCCTCATCGCGAAGCAATCCGTTCTCGCAGACTGATAGGTGAGTCCACCTCAATGCCCTTGCTCTCGGTGTTCCCCTCACAAAGCTGTAGTTCTCCCGATGTGCCTTCTCTCGATCTTTCATCATCATCGGACGAATCCGCTAACGATACGCCACGGTGCTCGGTCACCGCTAATGACGGCATCAAATCACGTATATTGAAACCTTATTCATTCGTGCCGCCACCACTATTCGCGTCGGCCTAATCTACTGTATCATCATAACTGCGAATATGTCACCATATGGCGTTCTACAAGACGCGCGAAGGCGGAAAGAGAGAGCAGGAGGAAGGCTATCGAGGCTCGCGCTCGGAAGGGTCTTCCTCTCAGCGAGGAAGAGCAGGCGATTTTGGCGGAGCCAGAGGCGAAGGACGATTGCGTGTCGATGTAGCTATTAGTAGTAGTTCATTTGCTTAAGCTTCCAATTCCATGGACAATATTCAGAGGAAGCTATCTTCGATCGGCGTTTTTGGGCGCTTGAGCCATGCCGCGTCTATCAAGGTACCTCGCCTATTTTGCTTCTTGACTTGCACGTTGCAGAAACGCGTGCAGCTCTGCGCAGCTGCCATCGATCCGCGTTGTGCTCATGAGGCCCAGAGTGGTCAGGATGGCCATTGCATGCCGCGCCATGTTCATACGACGACCTCCGAGCTCGACCGTTGCACCCTGTTTCCTATTCTCGGACTCGGTGCCATCTAATTGTCGATTGGGCTGTAATTGTCGATTGCGAGGTGCGTCCCCCGTCCGGTAGCCCGGAAATTGCTCATATCAGGCTAGACCAGCGAAAAGATACAGGTACATTCAATAGTACAAAGGGCGTGGCGACCAGCCTTAACTACATGTTTGTTCATTCCGGAACAAGGCTCACTCCCTCGAGCCGATAAACCGATACGTTCTGGACGATATATAGTCTGGGACGCTTAGCGTCAGTTCCCCCCTTTTACGTACGTTCTCCACTTAGCCGCCACAATTTTTCGGATCTACACATCATTTTCCAATACTGCACTCTTGGTCGAGTGAATGGTCGTCGTTGCGATGCACACCATCTCTCCTGCTGCAACACATCCGACTACCGTCGATGACGATGCGAGCTCTGTGGCCACGGCATGCCGGTCAGTCGTGGAACAACTTTCTTTGCACAACTTTGGCGCCGCACGAGCCGACACACCGTGTAGCGATCCTCCACTAACCGAGCTCATGTCCGAAGACAAGCAATCAATTGCTAGTTCATTCACAGAGAAGCACCCAGCATACCATGGCACGGGTCCTACGCGGTGTGCTTCCATCAGGACACAGCGGACAACCTCCACGAGGGTGACCAATTCTAGTGTCTTGACAGGGCAGGCCACACTGGTCGACGACGCAGACAACAACACGGCAGTCTCGATGTACGTCGCTTCCGTCTCTCTCCCGCCGCGTAGGCACAAGCACAAGGTGCCCGGCGCGGATGACATCGAGGTCGATCTCCTGCCTGTGTTCGACGCGTACGAGCGCCTGCACGCGGCTGTATGCCGCCGCGAGACGGCGAGGCTCCCCGACGCGGCAGAGACGTTCACCCAGCAACTGTCGCTCACCGTGCAGGGTGTGGACAGGACGGCTGGCTCCGTGCGGTATGCATCTGCGTACGAGTCCGCGAAGAAGAACCTCAAATTCTCGCAGGAACTCCTGGAATTGCACTATAGCAAGGTGCATTGGGACGATACGAACGACACCGTCGCGGCACTCGCGACAGGGTACCAATTGATGGAGATGACCATGGCCAGCTTCCGGAGCCTCCTGCAGGCAGTCGAGACAGAATGCGAAGCCCTGGAGACCCCCATCGAAACAGATATGTCATCGAATACTCGGTCAACCGCGGGGAAGCTCAGGATCATGACTGAGAATCTAAAACCGAAGAAGGCATTGTTCCAGCGACTTCGCAGATTGTCGCGTGGCTGTATGGCCGCGTTTGACATTTCTTTGCCTCCTACGCCCATAGTCACAGGTCCGGGAGAACACGGCGCTCCAGGCTCAGTTGTTCGACCTGCACGATTTTCAGACGACTCAGGGTCTACGTCGGAGACGGAGCCAGAGCCTTTGCGAGAAAGCTACTTGGAGGTGCGGCCTCCGGACGAATCGTCTCATGTCCCATACACGATCAAAGCATCTCTCGACGTCTTCCCTGAGCCATCCCCCAAGCTTACGCAGCTGAGCTTACCAAGTGGCGTGTCGTATACGACAGAACTCAAGCGAGCGCCAGACGGCACGATCATAGCTGCAACGCTGCCGGAACTCATCCGGATCCTGACTGACCAGCACGAAATCCTGAGCACGGACAGGCCGGATCTCCTCGATGCATTCTTCCTGTTTTTCCGCTCGTTCGCGCCTCCCGCGATATTCATGGACATGCTTGTCGAGCGGTATAACCAGAGCGCCCCTGCTGGACTCGACGAGGTACAGCTGCACGCGTGGCGATTGTACCAGCGCTTCGCTAAGATCAACATCGCGAAATTGCTCTGTCTCTGGCTTGAAAACTACTGGAAAGAGAGTGCTGATAGTGGCATGCTGAACCGCATTATCCAGTTCACTTTCGGAACTTTGACGAAGGACACTGATTTGCCCGAGGATACGGCCAAATTGGTCGCGAGTAGCTTGTGCGAGTGCGCGTCAGGTCGTCGTAGCAGCGAGTATGGGCTATGGCTGGCCAAGGAAATCAAGCAAACCGAAGCGGCTGCAATCATCTACAAGCCCACAGAATTCCAGCCGCGGTTAGAACAGCTCAAGATGCTGCGTCCAGACCAACTTTCTATGGTCGACATCGGATTTTTTCGCAAACCGGGCGGTGCGGAAGAGTTGGCACGACAATTGACCGTCATTGAATCGGAGCTGTTCCACTCGTTCTTGCCGGAGGATCTCATTCATTTTGGCGATCCGAAGTTCCGACGGAATCTGGACAGGTGGAAGGCGTTTTCCAACGCGCTTTCTCTTTGGGTGACGAGCTGCATACTGGATCACCGAGAAGCAGTGGTTAGAGCGCAGCTCATTGAGCTGTTCACCTCCGTAGCATCAGTAAGTGTGGTACGCTGTAAAGCATCATGGCTCTCTTAAACCGGCTGTTGTAGACATGTAAACGTATGCGCAACTACAATTCAGCACTTGCCATCTTGCTCGGCCTCCAGAGCAATAGTATCACTCGCCTCGAGAAAACCGAACAGGTGCGTCAACTGTTCATATCATAACGGGACGTGGCTCATGATTTCGCAGGCGATGCTTCCCTATCGGGAATCACGTATTGACCTTGAGAACTTCTTCGATCCTCGCAGCAATTGGAGTATGTATCGTGCGGAGGTGACACAGAATATTCCTGCGATTCCATTAACAGGTGAGCTTCAGTGCCAATATCCTCTATCGGAGCCCGATACGATAGTGTATTCTCCATGTAGTGGCGATGATTAAAGACACGAAGCTCAATCGGGAGCTCCTGCCCCGTATTCAGTCCACAGTTGTGCCCCTCTCGGCGCCCATACAGGACATGATCCCTCTGCAATACTACCGGAACATGCGGAAGACAGTCCGAGGTGAGTACACAGACGTAGATCCGTGGTGAGTCACGTAGCTGATATCGATGCTAGATCTTGAGAAGTGCTACGGCTCATATAATCTTGAGCGCGTCGATCTGCTGTATGACTGGCTCAAGAACAATATCTCACCGTTTGAGAAGGAGGAGTATGATCGCTACTCACAGGTTCTTTATAAGAAGAGGTGTGTTTCTTCCTGATAGCTAAAGAGTACGCGCTTAGATGCTCTCGTGCAGCTTACTATTGGAGCCGAAGCAACCTGACAACCTACCATGAAAGATGCCGATCTGAAGAGCAGGAAGCTCATGCAAGATCGAACTTCCGCTGACACGCTCGTATGGCTGTTCATCATTTAATCTTCGTGCAGCAATTCACAGACTCCAGCGCATGTTAGAGCTCTGCATTTTTCTTTGATGTTTACAACTGGTCCCATTTCATCGCTGCATCATCATTACCTTACACCGTCCATCATTCGCATGTTGTCCCGCTATCTGTACTCATGTATCCATACCGCATCAATTACCAGGTTATTGCGCATTCGAAGAACCACAGTGGAGCTTTTGTTTGGACACATACGGCACTCAGCCCAATGGCTATTGGATGCGTGAATCGATATTAAAATAAAACGACAACCATACATTACGCTCACATGAGAGGGCTCGGCAGCGTAGCGTAACGCATATACAGGAGGATAGCGATCGCTGCTCAAAGCCGCAAGTAATACGCGTGGATCCCACATCAGAGACACTCCTCTATCCTTCCTCGCATCCAGCAGCTTAAGACGACCGCGCAGCCTCAATCCGCCTCCGCGCAACCTGTCGCCTGTTCAACCCGCCGAGCGAGGATGCGACGACGTCCTTGTCCTTGCTCCGCTCGACCTCCACGTCTGATCCCGCGAGGATAATCTCAACGTGGCACGGGTGACCCTGGTAGGGATTGATACGACCGTGTGCACGGTATGTCCGGCGGCGGGTTTTCTAAAAAGCAGATCGTGATTACACGAGGACAGCGGTTACTACATGAACTGCGCGACTTACGGGCGCCTGCTGTACAACGATATTCTTGATGTAGAGATCCTCCAGCTCGAGATTTTTTGCATCAGCATTTGACTCGGCGTTTTTGAGGAGACGGAGGATGAACTTGACAGACTTCTCAGGCCAGCGACCTAGAGTACCGGTAAACGGTTATGCTTCATGTACACAATGTGTTGGAGACGCACCTTGAGTTGTCTTGAACTGCTTCGCTTGAGACGCACGTCCAACACCACCTGAAAATCGGCGGAAAGGAATAATTTGCTTGTGCTCCTTCACGTCGCTGAGGTAGGCGTACGCCTTAGTCAGTTTGAGACCTATCCAATCAGGCCGCATCATGTTCAGCCACATATTCCGCTCCAGTGACAATTCATCACGACTCACCAGTCAAAGCCGCCGCAACTTCGCTCATGTTCTTGAAGTGCGTTCGGAGGTATTCACCCCGAGCACGCGAAGCTATCAAATATTCAGACGCGGTCAGTCAATTGCGCTCTACTGGCAGCATTTCGGGACGTACTCTTCTCGGGGTTGGTGTCAAGGGCTGCGGCGGCGTAGCGAACTGCATCGCGAGGTCAATCGTTCGGCACTCGAGGGTGATACATGCATAACTACGCACCCATCTTGAAGTCTTGAAGAGTCGGGCCCGATGCGTAGTATCTTGGACGGGAAAGTACGCGAGTGGTTGAACTCTCGCAGCCACAACTAGCAAGTACCCGGTGATCGCCGAAAAAGACAAGATTTACGGGCGCTTGAGAGCGGACCATTTCCATTAATCGCGCGAATTAGGCTCGCCATTTCTTGCTCCTTCGCCGTGATGAGCTCGGGTGCTCTGTCTGGGTTGCTATGTCTGCATGAACGACCGACCAGCAGTCTGTTTCATTCAATTGGCGACGGAGGCGCACCGTCAACTCGCTTTAGTTAAGCACGGTTTCCAGTTCTCCGGAGGGCCGTGATAAGCTGCACTCGGAATCCCGTTTGTTCTCCTATCTTGCTTCCTGACCGTGTCATATTAGTTCCATATTGTGCCTTATGATCTAAATGTCCATGGCCATTTAGATCTCGTGAAAGCGGCAGTCCGTCTCTCACGACGCGTCCGCCTGCTTGCATTCGCCCACAGCGACGTGTCTTGCGACCATGGCTTCCAAGGGAGAGCTTCCAACCAGTCTCCTTGACGTTAAAGCGCGGGATGATGTGGATGCTGGTTTTCCTGTGAACAATAAGGCTGCCCGCAGCGCTCGGTTCTACATCAGCTCTGCTCTTCGTCTCCTCCTGGCTCTTTGCTGCTTGCTAGTACTCAGTCTCAAGTATCGTCTCGGCGTGTTCACGTCTGCAGGTGATGATACGCCTTCGCTGTTATGGTACGATATGAACAAATCGACTGGTGTCTGCCCGCAAACCGCACCCATTGTAAATGCGGAGCACTTCGACTTGCTCTCAGAGCTGGAGCAAGAGTATGCTACCAAGCAGTTCCGCGAGTATGCCATTGAATCTCTTAGCGGCGCTGTTAGGATCCCGTGCGTCATTCCTCAGCTACAACCGTCCAATGTGAACATATCGGCATGCGTAGAACGGAGATGTACGATGAAATTGACCCCCCTGGTCAAGACCCTCACTGGGAGGTATTCGGCCAGATGCACGAATATTTGGAGGGGAGATTCCCGCTTGTGTGCGCAGGCTCGGTTTTGGATGGTGTGACTGATTGCTGATTGTCTCAACAAGTCATACGAAGTTGCGCCGGACCAAAGTGAACCTCTATGCGCTCGTGTTTCACTGGCAGGGCTCAGATGATACACTCAAACCGATGCTGTTGACTGCTCACCAAGGCAGGTCGCATTCAGACTCACCGGACGTGTCTTGTTTATCTTGCTTGAAGATGTCGTCCCGGTCGAACAGCTTACCTTGGACCAGTGGATCAACCCTCCTTTCTCGGGCTACTATGACGGTACAACGCCTTTGCTTGCTATCAGTAATGCTCAGGTTCATGTTTGTTCAAGGTGAATGGATCTGGGGTAGAGGCAGCTGTGACGACAAACCTGGCCTCATCAGTACTCTGTACGCTCACCCTACTACGCACTTAACGCTTCACTTATATGGTATCCTGTCTCAGAACCACAGTAGAGAAGTTGCTCGAGAAGGGCTTCCAACCTAAACGGTCTATCGTTCTCGCGTACGGTATTGATGAAGAGCGTGGTGGTCGAGTCGTACGTATCGTTCTTCTCTCGCGCCTGCTGAAGATCGCTTAAAACACGCAGGGTGCCACGGCAATTAGAGACTACCTTCTTGCAAATTACGGCGAGGATGCCTTCTCCATAATCGTCGATGAAGGAGGTGGCTACTCCTTCCGGGGCGAGGCCATCATGTCCACCCCATCTGTCGCGGAGAAAGGCAAGCTGGATGCCCGACTAGAGATATCTGCCCCAGGCGGACATTCAAGTGTTCCTCCACGACATACGGCAAGGCACTTTTTTCGAAAAAGATGAAACTACAGCTGAACTGCGTACGTTAGACCATAGGTATGCTCGCCAACATAATTAAACTCATCGAGGCCAATCCGCACGTTCCGCGTCTTAATCGCACATCGACTTACTATCAGCAACTGCAGTGCCAGGCGGAAAATGACCCTGCGATACCGAGACATCTGAAGAAGCTGATCAAAAAGTCTCTGACCAATGACAAGGCTCTGACGAAGTTGCAGAAGGAACTTCGGCGCTCTGACCCCATGTTTGACGCCCTTGCAGGTACAACACAGGAGTGGATATCATTCGTGGAGGTGTCAAGTCCAATGCACTGCCCGAAAATGCGTACTTCATCATGAACCATCGCATTGATACCCTCAGATTCGTGGGTGTCTGATCATTGATTCCAAATACCTATATGGGACACGTTCTGTAGCTCTGTCGGTGCTGTGAAAGCGCACATAAGGGATCTCGTCGGTCCCATGGCCAACGACTTTAACTTGTCGGTGAATGCGTTCGGGGAGCATTATGGCGATCTCGAGGAGAGTTCTGCATTGGACATCTCAGCATCTCAGATGCATATGGCACGGCGCTGGAGCCTGCGCCCATCACACCAACGTTTGGCAATGGTCCTTACGAGCTGCTTGCGGGAACTATACGAGGCGCCTTGAGCACGTCAACTCGATCAGGTGTCCCCAAGGCAGCCTTCGTCGCGCCTAGCTTGTCGACAGGTACGTCGTGCGGACAATGCCACTGAGCATTCATGCGATTGATACTCGTGTTGGCCAGGCAATACCGGTGTGACTCGTTTTTTCGTCGTCACTGTGGCTTATGGTTGATCATCCGGGTAGATACGAGGCATTACTGGAAACTCACGAAGCACATCTTCCGCTATGGTCACGTCGCCAAGGAAGACCATTACAATGGCGCCCACACCGTGAATGAAGGTGGGCATTTCTGGTGATATGGACAGCCCGTGTCATGCTAAACATATGTTTCTCTCGAGTAGCCATCCGAGCGGATGGTTTCCTTGAAGTCATCCGCTTCCACACACGTCTCATTCTCAATGGCCATGACTCCTCCCTACTAGAGTAGTTCCTCTGTGTGCATCTTTGCTATTCGCGTATTTGCACGAATTTGAATGGATACTACTAGTAAATTGTTTGTTTCACGATGACCACGTGCGAAGCCGCTAATGCGGGGAAACGCTCGTAATTGAATGCAACGCTGTCAAAGCACTTCCGATCATTTTATCGCATCTACGCGTTCGACGACTGCTGGACTTGCCCTCTGCCTCTGATGCCGGGGCAATGATCCCTCGACACACATTCGTACTTGCTCTATTACTCACCTGCCCTCAGTAAATGCCAGCCCTTACTGTCGACCGGCCACAACAGCCCTCCGCGACTCTCGCGTCACCTCGCGCGAGCGAAGGCGTGCAGTCCAATCTCTCCGGAACCACCGCTGTTGCCACCAGCAGGTCACAATTTGGGGGATATGTGAAGGAAAGTGTGGATAATGGAGGAATTGATGCACCCAGTGAGGAGGAAGGGGACGAGGTAGGCGAATCTGCGTTGATCATGCGGATAATGCTCAGGCGGGGAATTGGTTCAGTTGGAGATTCTGAACAATGAGCTGAAAGTGGCGAATCGTATCAAGGAGGGAGCGGAGAATATGCTGCAAATGCCCCTTGCCGTGAGTCGTAGTGCTGCATCGCCGCATACATAGATGGCCAAACTCGTGTTTCTAGGATGCGTTGCGGGTTCAGGTTGAGTCCGAGCTTGAGCTGGCGAAGAATCAGATCAGTGCACTCACGATGACCATCGAGACTCGTAAGTTTCCTTCCCATGTTTTTGATTGCGCACTTTGCTGAGTATGCATTTAGATTCGTCAAGGAACCGTAAGAAGAGTAATGAACCTTCGAATGGTCAGGGAAATTTCGGCAGGCCTCCCCTAGTTCATAGCACAAAGCAGAGCTCTGAGGAATCGGAACGAGGTATGCTGAGCTCAGAAACAGTTGATGTGCATCTCAATGTCTTTCAGATGACTTCCGGTCTGCGATGCATCAGGCAAGCGGCTGCCTTAAGACGCTGGTCGCCCTTGCTCGCCAAAAGACAACAACACCCCAGGCTGGTGTGACCGTCTCACTCTCTACCTCACCGTCTTCGTCAATGATGCCGCAGCCGGGTTCTATCATGGGTGCTGACATTGGCAGGGCGCGAATCGACGCCATGACGCGTCTGATCGGCATATTGCAACGCAACCTGCGCGTCCGATACGAGCTGGATGTTGCAGAGGTGGTCCATGCGTAAGCATAAGTTCTCCGTGGTCGCTTTCGGCAGTTTAGTGATTGTGCCGTCTACATGCAGCGTGCTACCGTCACTCTCAGATCGCTCGACGAAACGATGCAGAGCTACTGCGTACAGACTGATTCGGCACTCATTAGTGGACTTCCATTCTGTAGAGCGCCTGCAGGAGCAGAAGCTGGACTGGTATATAGTGAAGTGAGTCCAGTGACACCGACCCGGTTTCACCGTGTGACTTGAAACACAGGTCTCTGTCCCGTGACAACAAGTATGCTGTTGAGAAGGAACAAGTCATTAAGTTGATCAGGTCCGTTGCGGAGATCGGTTCCGAACGTCGGCAACCAGGATGTGCGGTCGGTACCGGGGTAGTCCCTCTGTCCAACGCAGTCGTGCGTGCTCTAATTGCAGTGGCGGAGTCACCGGAAGATCCCTTCCGGCAGATCTGCCTGGAGACGCTCACCGAGATTCGTGAGTTGCCTGTAAATGGTCATGCGCCAATCATTCACGAGAGCTCTGCAGTGGTCAAGGACATCGATTTGATGGCGAAGACGGGTGGAATCAGGACGCTCCTACATGTACTGTCAGAAGGTCCGCCGGAGACGGCTCCATTGCTTATCTCTGCTTTTCTGTACATCGTCGACTGCCCTCGCACTAGGATGTATCTACGACCAGGCATCGACTTAGAAGTGAGATGACAGATATTGCTCCGAGTGTGACGACAGCTCACGAGTATCCAGATTGCTCTGTCAGGTATCACCGATGCGTATGGAAAGGGGCCGGAATACGCTGAGCGGATGAAAGCTTGTACACGGATCATCGTCTCGATGTTACGGACGTGGAGCGGTATGCAGGCTTGTCGCAATCGTCAGCATCATTCTGATATGCAATGGTACGCTCACTGCAGGTCTCATGTACTTTTGCATACAAGACAAGCTAGCAATCCGTACATTAGTGGATGTCCTCCGTATACCCTCACTCCAGTCTCGGGTAAGATCATTATTTCATCCCAAAGGCAATAAGGCCGATATGACCCTCATCAGGAAGTGATCCTTGATATGTTCTTCGACCTACTTAACATCCGAGCGCCGGATTGGCACCAAGCCTTTATCGATGGCAGACGGCTAACAAGTACGCTATCGTTTGTGTACTGAAGGCTCCTGTTGATTTTGCCTCCAGTATATCGGAAACTCAACCAATCTGCGGACATCGCAAAGCCACCGGAACGTCTTCAGAAGCATCCTGTCAGCCTCAAGCTGACGGACCAGTACATCGCTTTATTGGTCCAAATTTTCTGTGGAGCCGGACTACTGGATGTATGCGCAATTTCGACGACAGAGATATTTTTTCCTCTGATTCAAGTCTGGGCAGGCTCTAACAGGCATGCTGGAAGAGAACCCCGTCGGATCTAACTTGTCTCGAAAAGCCACTCTGCTGATGGGGGAATTGCTACAAATGGCCAACAGAGTGTTGCCTCTGACCATCGCGGCTAGCATTCAGGTTGGTAGCCAATAACATGCGAAGCTTTCGTTGTTATTCACCCCAAGGATAGGCTCTACCACGTGTGTTTACCTTAGCTACCGACTACTCTGTCGGGGAGCATCGGATCGTTGGGACGTCAGCGGTATCGTCGATTGATAGTTTCAATCGGCATCGGGCGAGCCTGCAGCCCATTACAGCTAACGCGAAGGGAGACTCACGTCCAAGGTATTTGAGACACGTTCTTCATCTGTGCCCCGCATCGAGCGTTGGGTTGCATCCACCAGATCAAATTCGATCGAAGATGCTGTCCGTCGCGGTCAGAGACAGATGGAACAGGCTAAGATCAAGATGGCTATTCAGATGGAGGACAAGGCTTTCCAGGCTCTTCTCTTGGAAACGCAGGTGAATCCGCTTGAATGAAGCAAAATGTCAATCTTGCTTATGTTAAATGTCAAAGGTCATGACCACCAAGGATCCATTGAAATGGAACTTCGACATATTACAAGAACTCGTTGAAGGCCCTCTCTTGAATCCTAAGCGGATGGAAGAGGCCATTCGTGCGTCGAGATACATGCGCAAGCTCATGGTGTTCTTCCATCCGTTCAGTCACCGGTTCTCTGACCTACCGAGGACGAAGGTAAGCCTTCTTCAACGCACGATCAAGCCATCTGCTGCACTTATCGACATGGTCAGAACAACATTCGTTGGGTGCGACTGGCGTGCATGCTACTCAATACACTTATGACCTCCAGCGAGGGTGCACGTTTCCTCTCCGAGGATGACCTATTGAGCCAGATCGTCAAGAGCTTTGCACAACTTGATCCTGTAAGCAAAGCTGAGACTATTTTTCATGACAATGGTCTGAGTGCTTCGAAATAGTTCAATGGTACGCCTACATCGGATCCGATCTTCTCCAAGAAGCGCATGCAAGAAACGCTCACGTTTGGCTACTTCGAAATGCTGGGCACTCTGAGCAAGCGGAAGGAGGGACTGGAGTATGTGCTCTTGTTGTTGCCTGTTGGAGTTGCAGACTCATCATCGCTCCAGGTTGATGGAGAAATTCAAGCTTTTCACAGCTTTCTATCATCTAAGCGAGTTGAAAAGTCGCGAAGACCTCATCAAAGGCATCATCGAGAATCTGGACTACAGCATGTAAGCTTTGGGCACACGGGATGACCAAATGTATCTAACTATACCGCAGCGACGGCCACTCGCGTATCGTGCTGTCAAAAGCATTGACGTCAAGCTACAAGCACATCCGCTTGTTTGCGACAAATCACCTAGGAACACTGATTCGCGCAAGTCCGGTCGCGAACACTTGGACACTTCGACTTTTGCTCACCCAGTTGTACGATCCTGCTCTCGAAGTGCGTGAAGTGGCTGTGCATTTCTTGGAGGAAGCATGCGAGGCGGCAGACGTTCTGCAAACCGTGGTGGAGATGCAACCCACGTTAGATCATCTTGGCGAGATAGGCCATCCGCTGATGCTCAAGTAGGTATCGTGCAGTCTCCACAGGAAGACAAGCTGAGACATCGTCAGATTCATGTCAACGCCTATGGGTTTCCGCTTCTTGCACGCAGCGGATTACATCGATCGTGAAATGGATATCTGGTTCCATGTGGGTCGAAGAATTAACAGGCCAAGTACATCCTGACAATTGTCATAGGAGCGAAATCTACAATACGTGGTACACGTTGAGGTATTCCTTTCCAAGGTGTTCAATTCGAACTCGGCCTATGATGATGAAGACGTCTTGTGAGTGATCAGGCTTCGTCACCCGTTTCTGACTGACTAACACTTTTTGGAACAGGACTCTTGAGAGCGCTGTTCCACCGCACTTCTACGGAGTCATGGCGAAGACCGAACTGGGTTATCAGGTGCTGCAAGAGAAAGGTCATTTCTCCGAATTCGCTCAGTTCATCAGGCAGCATGGACTGGAGAGCGAAGATCCTGAGTTGATTCTGAAATTGAAGAGTATACTGTGGGCTGTGGTAAGAGAAAGTCGCCAAAACCACACTAGGGAACGTGCTGAATGGCTATTATCATAGGGCAACATTGGCGCCACAGAGGGTGGCCTCCCTCTTCTGGAAGAGGAAGAAATCGTTCCAGCCATCATGAACATCGCAGAACAGTCACTGGTGCTCTCTGTTCGTGGGTCAGTCGCTCAGATCATATCAGCGAGGATTTGGACGCTCACTGAGTATGAAGTACCTGTTTCTTCGTCCTTGGATTGATTTCATCAACACCTCAGGGCGCTGAGGTGTTGGATGATTACCATTGGGAAGCGACGCTATCACCATTGGGTATGCCGACAGGTATCTGCGTGCCCGTGGACCTCGATAAGTTCACAGAGGTAGGTGCCGGCAGATCTCTAAATGGATTGTAGCGATTGACACCATTTATAAGGTCCCTTCGTGGGAATTTGTGTCACACGAAGGCTCTGATGAAACACGTCTTGAGGCTCCAACTACTGAGGAGGAAGTCGAGGTGATGACTGCTATCTACAACCTCGCTAACACCGTCATAGCAAACACCGCATCAAGAACGTTGGCGAAGTATGCTGTTATCTCTACAATGAGAGCTGTGACTTAATACTGACTGATCCTGCATGCAGGATGAAAGCTCGCCCAGAATATCGCGACGTCTTCAACTCGCCTACCATGTTTTATCGTGCACTTCACACCATATCCTCTCAAAAATATCGCCTACAGGTTCGGCGTCACATTCTGGATCTATTCAACCTTGAACTCGACGTCGATCTCGTCAATACTCTGAACCAATGTGCGATTACATTACAGATTCAACCTGACGACAAATCTGCGAGGCCTTCAACTAGGATTATGAGTATGATCGGGCGGCCGGGTCAGTACAAACAGAGGTCTGCAGACAGCGAAGAGGAGGATCTATCCGACGAAGATGAGCGGCAGGACGCCGTGGAAAGGCCTCCTGTCATGAGCTTGCGGCCTGTGAGCCGCATCATCGGGTTTGAGGTGCACAGTTATTTTGATTGAAACAAGGGATACAGGGACTTTTGCGCATCTTCAGTGGACTTCTCATCTCATTGTAGTCTGTCGCACTCCTTCATATGCACATATCATCTCCTAGGGGATACCCGCGCCATCGTGGAAAAGGAAAATCATGCTGGACAATCCTACCGGTAAGTCGACGTCTAATAATATGTCGCTCATAGATCAAAGAGATGCGAAGGACAAAGTCAATGTTTCTAGAGCACATGAGTTACTTCGTACGAACGAGCCGCAGCTTGTTCGGTTGGTAGAGGTAGTTTTCAGCATAGTTCTTCGGAGGGATGCGCTTGATCTCCGGCGCTTGCCTTCGAGGTTGTTAGCTTTACGACGGACATGATGAAGTGGAAACCTACACAAGATAATCCCAACCTGGCAGTCGCGGTTATTCAATGTCAGAATGCTGAATATATTGCTGACTGAAACCTCACCTTGCTTCTCAGCAAAATGGATAGCATCCTCCTTCGAACGGAACGACAAGCGAGTGCCTTGCATGTAATCCGCTCTGGCACATCGTGAACCCGACGATCCCAAGCAAACGTTTTGAGCACTTACGAACTTGCCCAACCCATCAGCGGGTTCTCCCAACGTCCTGCTCCGGATAGAATGTCCCAATCGATACTCCAACGATCCGACTTCGAAGTTCCGCTCTGCGTGGTACTCCGCGTCGGCTGGAATATTCTTACAGCACGGTGACGAAGTTCGGCTGCAGAAAACCTTCAGTGACATATGGGTAGGTAGGATTCGATGCAATACTGACTAGGGGCACCGCTAACGACATCCGCCGTCACAATCTCTCGCTCAGGAGCGGGTGTAACTTCGGATTGTTGCCCCTCTGGAGCCTGAGCTGGTGTTCCGCTGGATTCAGAGCTAAGGGCGCGTATGAACGAAGACGAAACGCCTATTGTACGCCTCGGAAGAGCATGCCGACAAGTACGTAGAACGGACATGGTGACTGTCTGAATTGCGAGCGCGCCGGTGGCGGCGATGAAGTCGTATCTTCCGTGGTGGTCAGATCGAACCAGTTTGGAGTTGACTCAATCGGTTCGGTTTACTGCACGCTAGAATGCCATCACGAGTTGAACGAGAAGCTCACAACATCGTGGCTCCCCATGACAATGCATGTTGAGCTTCGAAGCTTCCTTGCCCCGGTTCCCATCTGCACTGGGTCTCGCTGCGCGCATGGGAAGAAACTCACAGGACGGTGCACTGACTGCGTCGAGTCGACGAATGCGTCGTGGTGCTCACTGACCTGAGCAGAACTGATGGCGACGATCCAGTCAAGACCGTTCTCTAAAGACTATAGGTCCGTGATATTGAACGATGCCTAGTGCCTGCACATGTTGACCTTCTGTTGAAGTGGCCTCATTAACCAGTCGGTTATTGGCGGTTGCATCGTCTTGCTTTGTGCAACAGCCCACGAATGTCTGAAGAGGAAGCGCCGCAAGACGCGCCGTAGACATGATCCTAACAGCGTCGAATGTTGGGAATTTCGATAGTACGTTTGGTTATGCTTGTATTCCAAACAATGTAGGCTGACTGCCTTAGTCTCTATCAAGGAAGATCATGGGCAAAGTAAGATGGAAACATGTAATCCTGGAAGTTGCTAATAGTGCCGTAGGAGATCAACAGCGCCTCATCCGAAGGGCTGGCCTTTATCTTGGGTCAAAAAAGTGCTGAAATTTCCGGAAGAGAAGATGAACGATCTTCGAGGGATTGACGCGACCTTGTATACGAGATTCCTCCGCGGCTGCTGTTGGTTCACTCTCGCTCAGACTTTGACGACGTTACCGATTCTACTTCCTATCCATGTCATCTTCTCGGATGGCTCTGTCTCACCGAAGTCCATGACCCGCGCGTCTATATCCTCTCTGGTCGGCACTGCCAAAGGGCTGTCCTTGCTATGGATCCACCTGCTGCTTTTGGTATGGATTACTATAAGTTGGTTCTGTGTCCTGATTTGGTTATGTCGGGGCGAATTCCACCTTCGTGTGCAGAGAATCTTGGCGGCGGCAGACCGAGCAAATTCTACCGAAGCAGAACAAGGAGAGAGCCTGTCACAATATACCCACCCACATCCTCAATACCCCTTCGTCATGACGCAAAGGAACCATTGTGACAAGTCAAATCGTGGAATAAGAATGAGGACCGTTATGGTCACCAACATCCCTCCGGCCTTACGTTTAGAGAAAGAGCTGAAGGAGTACTTTGAATACTATCTCTCACGTCACGTTTCCAAGCCAGGTATCGGCGTCACAAGCACTACTCAGCCTGGCTTCCTCAACAAGACGTTTGCTTTTTTACTGATAAAGCTTACACATATACCCATTCACCTCCATCATCCTCGTCCTCGCCTGCATTATACGCGTTCCGCCGATCATCAACAGCCTATTACTTCTGTTGGGGTCAAGCCTGGTTCACTAGACCCGCCTACGATCGATCGCGTTGTCCTCGTACGAAGAATGACTGAACTATCTTCATTATTCGAACGACGCGAAGAGGTGTTACGCCTTCTCGAGACGGCTCACATCAAACTAGCCAGGAATGTGCTGAGTGCTGTAGGGCAGGCCAACGTCCATATCCCAGTTAGCACCGACTCTAGCGGGCCAGATATATCTGCTGGGGAGGATCGAATACAGCTGCTGGTCAGGACGCTCCGACCATTCCTAACCCAAGCAGAGGACATAGGTCCTGAACCTCTCCCGGCTCTGAGGCGACTGACACTTTCTTCATCCTGGCGGGAAAATCAAATGGACTTGCGTGTATCCGAAGACCCACCTCCGCCTTCGAACGTTGATGCAGATACTGTCTGGGACGCCCTTCTCAGTCTCCCTCGCAGTAGCCTGGATGCATACCAGCCCCTTATCCATCTGTCGTCTCTGTTTCGCGGTAGGACTGTCCCTTCGATCGACTATTACACAGCAAAACTCGAGGTTTTGACTTCGCTCATTACTGAGAAACGTGCGATCCTGACAGACGACTATGAGCCTATGTCGACTGCCTTTGTTACTTTCATCGATCCAGCTGATGCGAGACGAGCATGCAAGTCCCTCGCTGTGCATCCAGCCAACCCCCTGCAGTGTCTCGTGACTATGGCACCCTCGTACGAGGACCTGGATTGGACGCGACTGATGAAGCCAACGTTCCGAGTTGAGGTATGATCTATCTCACTACAATCGTAATCGTTGTACTGATTAGCTGCATAGTTCGTCAAAGATTGGCTAGTAAATATAGGAGTATGGTGAGTTTCTGTTTACGAGGTTCTGAATGCTTGGTGTGACCGGTCATGTTTAGGGGATTCACTATTTCCTGGGTTTTCCCTGTGTCTATCCTTGTTGGTCTGGTATCCATACAGAACATCAGCAGCTTCTGGCCTCAGTTGGTGCGTCTACAGTCATATCAGTTGATGCGTCGAATCATTGACGAGTAAAAATGGCAGAGTACGTATCTTGACAAGCACCCGTGGGAAGAAGAGGTGTTGCAATCATTCGTACCGACGGTGCTAGTTTCCCTTTTGTCTCTCCTGATTCCTTTATTATTGCGTAAGTCAATATCCCACGAGTGTGCCGTATTTTTGCTCATCAGACGTCGATTACACTGACAGTACTCATTGCGAAGAAAGCGCATACGATAGCTACTCTGTCCACCCTACACGACCGAATCATGACTCGGTACTACAAATTCCTCATCGTCAACGTTCTGATTTTCTTCTGCGTTGGAACGGCGACCTTGCAGTCATTCCTTGTGTCCCTCAGCTCTACATCGGGCCTGCAAGTGATACAGATTGTGGCGGATAGCTTCCCAACCGCAGGACCATTCTACGTTGGATGGCGTGAGCAAGCTAAATATGTCTATTCAGGCCTGTTCTAACGACTCGCAGTGATTTTCACTACTGCAATGCATGGAGGAATCGAACTCGCACTATGTAAGAACGGCTTTTGCTACCTTAAAATAGTAACGCTGACCTGCTTGACGATTCCTCAGTTGGAGTGGGTCGAATGATTGGTATTATTAAGGTCTTATCTCACCCGATTTTGTCAGCTCCCTCTGCTGTTATATCCGTCTACGAAACGGCAGGTGACCCCTCGCAAACGGGCCATCGGCATACGCCCGCGTACCTTCAACTATTATTGTACGTATCTATGAGGACTTTGCCACTCATGTTCTCATACAACACCTTTAGACTGGCTACCGAACCATGTTCTAGTTGTACATGTGGTGCTAGTCTTTGCGGTTCTCAACCCTCTGGTGATCCCGTTCAGCTTCGTCTATTACTGCGTTGAAGCTAGTGAGTCAGAACAGCTGAATATCTTAGGACAGGATAGCTGATGGGAACCCAGCGGTCATTCGGAATCAGGTGCAGTAGGTGTAGCTGTGCCGTAGCACGATTCTAATGGCGTCATTTAGCTCTTGCATGTGTATGCGAAGAACTACGAGGGCAACGGGCAAAGGATCTTGATCAGGATTATCCGATACTCTTGCGACGGTAATCGTTCCTCGGCTTTATTGAGATATAGTATTGACCGGGTTTACAACCGCAGGGCTAATCTTGGCACAGGTTGGTGCTGATACATTGAGAGTACTCCCGATCCGGGCTATAAACATATCTCCTAGGTTGTTTTCTTAGCCTACATGGTCGTCCTCAAGAAAACAGTTAATATCGCAGTATCGGCCGTCCTCGTTGTGCTGACAGCCGGTGGCAAGCTGCTGTACGTGCCTCGCGCTCGGTTTCGCTACTGGCGGCTGATGGTCCTTTGCAGCTTGACCAGACTGTGCAGAACCAAATTCGAGCGCGATGATCTCCTCGAGGCACAGATTATCTGTGGAATGGGGAACGCCACCGAGGCGCTACTCGATGAAGTGCAGCCCATCGAAAATAACGCTGCTGAGGCAGATCCACTGAAGAGGACTCAGCAGCGGAAAGGCTCGCATACATTGCCCGCGCGTGTTCACCCGACTCGTTTTCCTGACAGGATCGATGACGGCTATGCGACAATTCCGAGACGGCCATACCATAGGACACGCAGAGGGTCTATTCCTTTTGGGCCTTCGCAATTTGATCTTATGGAGGACGTTCAGGAGGTCAAGGCCGTCAGTGGCAGTTCTCCCATCATTGACGACGGTAGAGAATACGGATTTAACGGGAAGGCCGATGTTCTCGTTTCCGAGCGGGCTCTGACATCCAAACCTGTGACGCCACATCCTCCGCATCCTGCATGGGACGACGAGTCCTCTCCGGACGTTCCATACGATAATCCTTATTACATCCGGCCGATTCACGACGAGCTGTGGCTGCCGCGTGATCCGCTCGGCCCGCTCGACCTCGATGACACGGTCAACGTCCACCTGTGCTTGACGACGCAGCCCGGGTCCGGCAGGCTCGGCGCATGGCGGGAGGACGAGTATATCGCTTCGGGCGTCTCGTCCATTCTGATCAGTCGAGGGAGCGCAGGTGGAACCGGTGTTCGTGCCTATAACGCCATGGCTCCGTTAAGACGACTCAATGGCAATGAGAAGATCGAGTTGCCGCCGGAGATCGAGTCTCGTTTGCAGACGTTGGACAGAGAGGGCGATGCGGAAGTGGGCATGGCTTCTTGGCCGCCTCATAGGCAGCATGGATGGCGACAGTGGAGCAGCAGTGGTCGCTATTCGTCGCTGGAGCTCGGCTTGGGGGACCCCATTGTGCCGGGTCGGAATGCATCGCGAGGCCTGAGGTCGACTCTCCGGCATGGTCTCCCATCCTCTTTCTTTACGTTCCCTCGTCATTTGCGCCAGGTTCGCTTTGATTCTGCGGAAGAGGAGATGGACACGCGGCAAGGAGGGCATCTGGCTCCTGCCGTTCCTGATGGGTTGCCAGTCACGGATGCCGGAATGAGCGCTGTTGGCGGAGTTGTCTCCCTTCGGGAGGCGGTGGTCGGTGAGGTTATTGTTGAGGAGGAGGCGATGCAGGATCGCCTGAGGTACGAAGAGGCTGAAGAAGAGAGGATAGAAGAACCGCGTTCGTGGTGGGCATCTTGGGTATTCGCCGGCGGGCAGTGAACATTTTGTTCCGGTCCTAGTCTTTTTCTCCTAGATACTGTTTCCGGGACTTTTGCGAGGATATGTGCAAACGATCACTGTAAATTCATCCGATGTCTCCTACGTATCGCTCTGACATCAGGCTCCCGAAGTATAACTGCCCTCGCGTGTATCATACAACATCCCATTGTCCGCGAATGTCCCAGTGAACCCAAAATGTGTGAGGTTTAGCTAGTCATCTCTCCACACAACTTGTCCTGCCGCCCAGCGATCGCCCCACATCATCCGTTTATGATACACCTTGCGTAGTTCCTTAAACTCGCGGACAAAGTCGTCAATGTCCTTGCTGTTCGCGGCGACTGGCGATGGCTCCGCAGACGACGCTTGAACGAATTCGGATGCACGGGCTTCTGAGATATCATCCTGGGCGACCGTGGCGTGTCTCAGCCGCATCAAGAGGAACTGTGGAGTAAAGCGCTGAATCACAGATCAACATATCTGAAGGAGGGGGTATCAAAGAATGAAGCGAGGCAGACCTGGTACACCTCTTTTTGCTCCTTTTCCACTTCTTTCCATCTTGCTTCCAGACTCTTGGCCTCATCGAATGCTTGCTGTGTATCGTTGCGCAACGTATAGAGGGCATCCTGCAACGCGAGGTTGTTCTCTGCTGGAATGAATAGAACGATCTTGAATTGCCAACGCAGACGCACTCGCTATGGTCTCATTTGCGCTCCCAAGCTCGGCTTGTGCCTGGTATAGAGCCTTGACCCGGTTCAGAGAGTGGAATATTGCCTGGAAATACACAGGATCGACGAGGAGCTCTTCCAGGTCTTCTCTCCTGTATGATAAAAGCGTATGGTGAGACAGCTGCTACGGTTGCCTGAGTTTTGTGCTTTACGATAGGTGGGAGAGCTCGGAAAATTCTGCGAGCAAGGGGTCCGCCATGGGCGTAGTAGTGAAGCAGCCACAGGTAGCGCGGGGCCACAACGTCGACCACTAGATCACATCTAGATCCGATCTCACTCAAGCCACTGAGTGGTTTCCATCTTACGTGCCATTTCTCTTCGACCCGCATACTATGCCTCCTCACTTGCGGCTCAACATGCCTCTGCACAAATATCCGAGTCGGAAGTCTCAGCGCTTGCCATTTTGAAGCGCAACTCACTGCGGCGGCAACGATATCCTCCTCATTATGATCATGGGTCAACTCAGGCCTACTCAGGCTTGGCTTGCGAAATGAACGTACTCCAGTCTCATCCGAGCATTCATCGATGATCCTTTGCCCTGGACGCTCGGGCGGTGATACACCGCAAATCACTCATTGTCGGAAAACATGTATCACTCTCACGACATGCTACGACATATTCCGCGTACTACATAGGATGCCAACATGTGGACCTTCCCGTCGTTCCCTAGCTATCTCGGGAACTCCAAAAACGTTGCTATGCATGTGCTCTGATGCAACATCGACTCGTCGATCACGACAAGTCTTCGCAGCTCGGACAGATGACCATCTGATCGTGGTGTTAGTCATCGTATTTCGAGTCAGGCTGTTGAGCACGCAGTCGCTCTCGCAGCATTCGTCACTCGGCCGGGACTCGAGTAAACTCGCATATATATACTTCGGTGTGTCTCTCCACGAGATCACTATAGCAACCAAGCAGGATGTCGAGGGACGACGTCGCATTCTACGGATTCACCCCTGTTCCCAGGGACCCGGACGTGCTATTCAAGGACCATCCGACTGCATCTGGCCCCAATCCAAAGCAAGAGCTTGTCGTCGCGTCTGACTTCCCACTGCCGGACTCATCTGTTGTCCGGGCGGTGAAAGACTTCGTGAAGGTAGTTGCGTTCTTGCGATGAGTGGATCTTGACTAAGTACTGGTGGTTTCGTACAGGCAGAACTCGATGAACAAACCTACAACCACAGCCACCGAGTCTACATCTATGGTTCGTAAGCCATCCTTGCAACGACCTCCATCGTTGTGGAGCTCACATGCTCGGGACAGGCACCGCGCTAGTGAAGACGCACTTTCCATCCTGGTTGTATGATTCCGAGACATACTACCTCGCGTGTCTGCTGCATGACATCGGCACCGCCAACCGGTTCCTGGCGAGCACCAAGATGTCGTTCGAGTTCAAAGGCGCGATCGTCGCCCGCGACCTGATCTTGCAGCAAGGCGGCCCGGAAGACCAGGCGGACAGCGTGTGCGATGCGATCATCAGGCACCAGGACATCTTTGTGAAAGGGTGCGTGAGTTGGAGGCTCCAGAGCGGAGAACGTTAAGCAGTGTATGCGCGCAGAGGGAATATCACTATGATCGGGCAGATCTTGCAACTCGCAACCATCCTCGGTAGGTCCTTCAGCGCCAAAGCCGACTCGCACTGCTGATAGACGGACTTTTCACAGACAATGTCGGACTGTACGCCCATCACCGTTTTCTAGATATCGGCTGGCTGATTATCGGCATTTTTCTGCAGTCGCGCGAATCTCATCCACCCACGTCTGATCGAGACAACCACGGCGGCCTTCCCTCGCAAGGGCTGGTCAGAGCACTTTGCCCGCGTCATCGAGAAGGAGCTGACGCTGAAGCCGTGGTGCCACACTTCGACTTTCGAGCAGCCGAATTGGAAGGAGGGCGTTCAGAGCAACTTTGCGACAGACGTGAGGGGTAACGATGTGATGAAACCATTCGATTGACTGGATATGCACCCATGGAAGGATGTGCGATGCGACATTTCGGCGAACGGTGATGTCGCCAGTCAGCAGTAAACTCCAGTCATATTATAGCATGATTAGTACCGAATAACGATGTGCAGGTAGTGTGAGCAAGTTGCTGTGTGAATCTGTGATACATCCTTGTGACAGCATCGAGCACGAACGCGTCAGTTGAACGCCGGCTTGTGAAGGTGTGTCCTCCTCATGATGCGCAGGTGAGTGTTCTGACATTGTATGGCCGCTGCCAGAGGTTCACGTCACGGTCTAAACGAAGTCTTCCTTTATTTCTTCAGACTCTTCATCCGCCTCCCGAGTCGTCTACATCTTACCACGTTGTGGTCTGCTGCTGCATACCGGTCATCATTGAATATGTGAAGACTCCTCTATTCATAATTTCAAACAGTAAGGGCCACCTTGGCATGCAACATTCGGCACGCTAATGTGCACGGCCAACAGATGAGCGGTTTCGAAACATATAGCAATAGCGCCTGACCGCCTGCTTCGCGTTTTGGAACCTGCAGAATGCACAAGCTCAGTGAGCGAACGTCGACGGATGCAGCTCGTCTGTCGTCTGCGCTGGCCGCGGTGGATGGTTTGCGGTCAAATTGGGGTGGCATGCCAGCGCGCTACGGTCGCGCCAATGGGGGACTGAGGGAGGAGTTTGGCGTGCACTAAGCGCTAATCACGAGGCGCTTCCATAGTTCATGGTCATTTTGGCGCGCGATCCTTTTCAAAACGATCGTTTCCCGCGGACTGTCAACGATCCAAACAAGTTCATCGATTATCCCCAGTACTAGCAACGCAGCCAGAATACACACAACCACGTATCATTCCGGCCTATTTTATCTCCTCAGATAAACTTAGTATGGCATTTGACCTCTTCAATGAGAATGAACAACGTAATGCACCGCCGATGTCGGCTCACTCGTCGAAGTCTTTGATAGACTTCAGTGCGGACTGTAGCGGTACGCTATGCACCAGAGAAGCCAGTCTCCCACCTTCATCGCATTCGACAAACTTTGCGGCTGCGGCCGTTTATAATGCGGTTTTCTTCAGCGAGCGGACGACGGTATGTCATCCTCCCAAGGTTACCTTGTCATGTGCGTACTGCAAATGCAACTCTACCACATCACAAAGCGACAAGTGGTGTCTGCACGGTAAGTCTTCATCCGCGTCGCATCGGATCTGACGGTGACTTCTGCTGCTGTAATGCGCATCTTCCGGGCTGCGCAAACCTTGTACGGCTGGCAGAACCATATAATGTTCGCTACCAAGGAACGGAGATAGTATAACATGCCTTCTTCCAGCAAGAGCCGGTAATTATCGAATTCTGCGGTCGCATCGCTTTCGTATGTTTGCATCTGTCAAATACAGTGTCCATCAATAGTGCAATCTGAACTGCCACAGTGAGATGTGACCGGGACAGAGGGTTTTCTGACTTCGATTGGTTGCATTGACCATGAGAGCGGGACCCTTTTAGCATCGTCGATTCTTCCATCTGGGACTACACTGAAAAGTGTTTCAGATTTGATATGGATCTCTTCCGATGTTGACTACCTACCCCGAGTAACAGAAAATGGGGACATGGATGCGCCCGCGTGTCAATCAGTCAAATGAATGAAGAAGCATCCTAATTTGGCTGTCCGTTTCCTCTGTGAGGCATCTGATACGATGCAATCTTCGAGGTACTTATTGTCCTCGTTATTGACAGATGCGCACCGGCGTTATCAACCTTTCATCGCCTCTGCACATTCGTGCATGGCATTTTCATAGTAATGTGGTCTGTGACACGATGTGGAAGTCACCTCTGGAATGCGTCTCTTCGTAGGTATTCATGAAACAGATGTGTATTAATGCTTTGACCCTCGATGGTGCTTTCTGACACATTCGATGCTTTGGCATCAAATCACAAATAAGTGAGTTCATGCCTAAGCTGAGAGCATATGGGACGCGAGGCTCTTGCATACCAACAAAATTCGCTGGGGCACCGCATCTGACAGTTCATCAATGTCATCCTCTATGCTATAAATTCTGGGATTGATGTCATTCTGGGCTGTGATCCCTTCCACCTACAGAACCCCATGTCTGCTCTGAGTGGTGTATATACAGATGAGTGTGTCAGCAGTCGTTATCGCGTTGTATTACATGCTAACGGCTTTCCAGTTATCGCCCGGAAGTAAGTTCTACTTTGTGGTTTCTGGACCACCCGGAACTTGGGTCAATCCATCTTGACAACAGCTGGTCGGACTCCTCTTCAATGTGGGACTACAATCTGCATTGACAGTGCAAACTTGTAAGTAGTCATCGACGTCCTATTGCGTGTTATATTTGACGAGTCGATTGAGACGTATATCATCTCTGCTTTCCTGATGATCCCTTTAACCAAAAGTGCCTGGGTAAGCCCCATCACTCACGGAGACATGCACTCCCAGCTGACATGACTGACACCAGTCTATCTCGTATGTATTTACGAGTGGGTCCAGACTGGATTGGTGGCTGTGAAGGTTTTTCGTTCCGTGCATGAGGCAATACTATCGGGGAACACTCTGGACTCCTTTTACAACATATGGTATCAATGGACCATCATCAATATCATGTGTGCTGTCCAGTCAGCCGCGGTGCAAACCTACTTTGCTCGCCGCATCTACATCCTTTCGCGGTCGCGCATAATCACAGGATCTGTCATTGCAGTGCGTATGCTGAGAGTTCTCAATTAGTGCCTGGTGACATTAATGTCTTCAACTATGCTCTGTTCCTTGCGGGCTAATTAGGTAACGTTAGGACAGATATGCATAGGAATCCTCTCCGCCCTCAGTAACATTCAAAGCGTGAGGTATGTCATTGCTTATCATTTCATCGCTAATGCTTCAAGGGGTTTGAATGTGGATATTGACGCATCTTCTTCCGTGAACAGCTCAGCAGGTGCAACTATTGTGAGCGATGTAGGCTCTCTGTAAATTATATGCTAATATCTGCGCTAGGCTTGGCTTGTTGTAAGCGCTGTAGCCGACGTGACAATTGCCATAACGCTCGTCATTTTGGTCAGTTCTACTGTGTACAAATTTACAGAATCCCTCAGAACCGCAGAACAGTTCCACAAAATGAAGAATGGGCTGAAGCAGACTGATATTCTCATGAAGCGTCTAGCTCGTATGGTCATTGAAACAGGCACATTGACGGGTACAGTATTTCTGAGCTGTGTAACTCTTCGTGAGAAGCTAAACTTGCCACCAGCCACCACAGCCATTGCCGCTCTCGTTCTTTTGTTCACAGCGGTGGTACGTGTCGTACATGTTCATCATCGGCCATCGGCTCATCATCATAGCCATACAGGAGTGGACAATATGCCCGTAAGTCTCTGACGAGCCGCTTCTGCAAGCCGGCGCCACATTGACAAGCTCTGTGGCAGAATGCTCTTTCTCTCCAAACTGTACCGACAGTTTCTCAGTTAGCAACGTCAGCACGCTGAAAACTCTGTATAGATACACCAATTCGGCATTGTTCACCCTGAACAACCGAGCCATCATCAAGTCTACGCAAGGTGAAGACGGAAGAACCGCCATCATGCTCAGCCCGACCGTCCCCCACTTGCACAATCACAATCATCCACTGGAAATTATGTCAGATGAACAGCGCAGCCCGATTGTCATCTCTATCGTTCGGGAAGAAGACGTCTATACCAGCGCGGTCAAGCATGAGGAAAGTGTAAGTTCATCGATGGACCTTTTTGAGTTGGAGTAACATCCAGATAATCTGTCCCTTGACCTCGTAGGTATGATCCGCCGCGCAGTAGGAAGGCCGACTTCCGTGGAGGACGTGACAGAACGCTATCGACTCACACTGGCAGTTTACAAAGTACTGTAGTCTCCCGTGAACAAATTCAACAATTCCTTTGAACCTCCACGGGCTCCGGCTATCCTTGTCTGACGAGTACTGCCGCGTGCTTCTCGTACTATTTGTTCAATGTCTGCTTGCAAGTGTGCATTGATGTGCCAGGTCCGGACATGTCGATAAGCTGTGGTTTTAGTGTAAAAGTGCGCCGTTTCTTCCAGGATGATTGAACACAAATTTCTCGACAAAAAACGAGTTGTTTGTGCGAACGAGTTTCAGGTAGAGTTCGGTATGACAGGCGCTTATGCGCTGGTTGACCGCAGGCATTTCCAACTTCTCCACCGCGGTGACCGTCAGCACTACACCTCCACCGTATTGATTCGCTGCTCAACGCACTCAGCACTGGCTTGCATGATGACTGAGAATTTTAGCCACTGGGCAGCACATGACGATGCTGTACTATGAGTAAGCCTCTGATGGCATGCACATCGTTCGGACGTGTCGGCGGTCGCAGCCCAATGCCCACACAGTCAACCCGCACGACCTGCAGCGCGTCCAACGACCCATACTCGATTTTCATTTCGCAAAATGGACACCTACCAGCGAACATGGCAGAACAAACAGCCCCTCGTGTTCACCGCGCTCGGCACCCTCGCCGCCGCGTTCCTCTTCTGGGTGGCGTTCCTCCGACCCGCGCCCGTCCCTGCGGTGCCGGTCATTACCAAGGTGCGTGCACGCGGCCCCATCCATCCTTCGTTCTCACTCAGGTTGGTCGTCCCCCCAGGCCGTTGCAGTGCTCAAAGGCGACTCGGGTGTGAGCGGCACGGTGACGTTTGCACAGACAGTGCCGACGGCGGCGGTCACGGTCACCGGCGAACTGCGCGGGCTCGACCCACGCGCGGAGCGAGGCTTTCACATCCAGTACGTCGCGCTGTTTCTCCATCCACCCAATCTCTAAGATCAGTCTCGTTGACATGCACTAGTACTTCGGGTGACCTCTCCGCTGGCTGCGTCTCGGCCGGCGCGCACTATAATCCTCTGGGAAAGAAACATGGCGCGCCGTCTGCTGACGAGCGGCACGTCGGCGACCTTGGGAACGTGTTGAGCGATGCGCAGGGCGCGGTGCAGATCTCGATGGAGGACAGGCTGATTTCGCTGAACGGGCCGCTGAGCATTGTAGGGTCTGTCTAGGCGCTATGTACGCGTGTCTTTCCTGACGCTGACGTTTCGTGTCTCCTCCAGCCGTGCGGTCGTTCTTCACGCGGTGGGTGCTCGAATTCCGTGCATTCATTGCCTTGCTATCTCATGTCCTCATAATCGCTCGTTAGGGAACAGACGATCTTGGAAAGGGCGGCAACGAAGACTCATTGCAGACGGGCAATGCGGGTGGCCGTGTGGCCTGCGGTGTTATCGGTAGGCCTCGCTTCCTTTCCGCACGCTCGCGTTTCTGAGAACCCAGCATCCGTCAGGAGTCTCTCAGTAGCTGTTCTCAGGTTCCCAAAGGACCTATGGCTATGTCGTGTAAAATTCTGTATGTCACAAAATAACGGATCCGCAGTGCATATTGTCTCAATTCCTGATCAATGCGATCCAACGGCATGGCTTATCGGTGACGGGGGCACTGAAAAGGTGGCGCGGCCGGTTTCTGTGTCATTTGATATCTCAATCCTGAAATTGACTCCGCTTGGCGATTCGCTGCTATCAACAATAATAAATCCCATGTTGCGTTGGTTCGCTCAAATTTGAAACCGTCCCACCTGCAGCTGCATGTTCTGGTGCAAGAAACCTTAACCTCGATTTGGTTCTACAGACGCCGACCTGGGTTCAATCCATCTGAAAGCTCTACTCAAGCTTGACTGGTACACGTGTACACCCCCACACCCGGAATCTGACGCTCGTAAATCGTCAATGCTTTCGATACGCCTTCTTCTGCGCACGGCGGACATCCCACGTCCCGTGAAACCCCACTCTCCGCTTGTGCCGAAGGCAAATATTCGCAACCTATCCGAACAAGCTCGCGGTGAATGCACAGGGAAATGGCACGCGTCAGGCTAGAAGCCCGGTGGAGCGTGGTGCGTATCGCTCATTGCGTGTTGAAGCGTGCCTTAAATCGCTCTCGAGACGCGGTCGCCTGGTACGTCGTTCGTGAACACTTCGGTACGGTGTCGCCGTAACCTAAGCTCCTCGACGGAATACATCGCGTGGACTCAGAGCATAGATCCTGTTGTTGTCAGCATATATGTAGGCTGTAGAAAAACACGCGACGCGACGCGTGACGTCACGCGTGTTCTTCGGTCACCTCGAGCAAGTTCATTCTCCGGGCGTCTACTTGCGCTTAAGCACATCATCTAATTTTTCTTCTGGCTTTTGGTTTCAGCTGAACTAGATAATGCCTGACACTGACTCAATGCCTAAGTGATTTCTCTAGCATCCTGGGACTCCCCAACGTTATCGAGAGAGCGCCGATAGCCATCTCGCGTACTGATAGAGACGTGAGCATGCACTCATCTCAGGTGCTGTTTGTACTCACGAAAACTTTGCATATGGCAGTAGCGCCTGACTGCCAAATTTGCATTTTGGAACCCGCAGAATCGTACAAGCTCAGTGCGTGGACGTCGACGGATGCAGCTGGTCTATCGTCTGCATGGGCCGCCCTGGATGGTTATTTATTAACAGTTTGCAGTCGCGTTGGGGTATCGTAGCGTGTGGCGCTAAACGGCCACCATTGGCGCGTCTTCTGGGCTGTGCAAATCTTTACAGCTGGCAGAACCTTATGATATCCGCTGCCGAGGAACGGAGATCAAATCACAGTCATGTTGCTTTCGAGCGTCTGCATCTGTCAAATACAGCGCTCCCAAATAGTGCAACCTGTAGTGCTACCGTGAAATATGACCGGGACAGAGCGTTTTTCGATTTCGATTGGCCGTGAGGGGGAAACCTTCTTAGCATCCTCGATTCTTCCGTCTGGGATCCTGATTTGATATGGATGCGATACGAGTAACGACGAGTCGGCCGGCTGTCAATCATTCAGATGAATGGAAAGGCATTCCAATTTAGCAATCCGTCCACTCTATGAGGCAGCTGCCAGACGCGAGGCTGTTGTCGTGCAAACAAAATTTGGCCAGGTACAGCATTTGACAGTTTATCAATGACATCCTCTATGCTATAAATTCTGGAACTAACGCCATTCTGGCCTGTAATCCCTTACACCTACAGTGAACCCCATGTCTACTCTACCGCCCTTCCTGACTGAGGTATATAGACTTGAGTTTGTCAGCAGTCGTTATCGCTTTGTTGAACATGCTAACGGCTTTCTAGACTTGCTCAAGTAAGTTCTACTTTGTAGTTGCTGAACAACCTGGAACTTGGATCAAACCATCTTGACAATCGTAGCTGGTCGGACTCGTCTTCAATGTGGGACTACAGTCTGCATTGACAGTACAAACTTGTAGGTCATCATCGACGTCCTACTGCAGGTTATATTTGATGAGTCGATTGAGATGTTTACCATGTCTGCTTTCCTGATGATCCCTTAATTCAAAAGTGCCTGGGTAAGCCCCGTCACTCACGGAGACATGCACTCCCGGCTGACATCATTGATACCAGTCTATCTCGTATGTATCTACGAGTGGGTCCAGACTGGATTGGTGGTCGTGAAGGTTTTTCATTCCGTGCATGAGGCAATACTATCGGGGAACAATCAGGATCTTCAAGTTTTCTGCAGCTTATTGGATCAATGGGGCATCATCTATATCATGTGTGCTATCCAATCAGCCGCGGTGCAAGCGTACTTTGCTCGCCGTATCTACATCCTCTCCCGGTCGCGCATTACAACAGGATTTGTCATTGTGGTGCGTACGCTGAGAGTTCTGGATTAGTGTCTGACATTGATGTCTTCAACTTTGCTCTGTTCATTGCGGGCTAATCAGATGGCGTTGGCACAGATGTGCTCAGGGATCATCTTCGGCGTTAGTACGTTAATTGAAGGCTTGAGGTACGTTTTTGCTCACCACTTCATCGCTAATGCTTGAAGGGGTTTTGAACGTGGATATTGACACATCTTCTTTGGTGAACAGCACAACAGTGACCTACGGTGCAAATATTGTGAGCGATACAGGCTATCTGTAAACCTTATGCTAATATCTGCGCTAGTCTTGGCTTGTTGGAAGCGCTGTAGCCGACCTGACAATTGCGATAACGCTCGTCATTTTGGTCAGTTCTACTGTGTTCAAATTTGCACATTCCTCACAGCTGCAGAACAGTTCCATAAAATGAAGAATGGGCTGAAGCAGACTGATATTCTCATGAAGCGTCTAGCTCGTGTGGTCATTGAAACAGGCACATTGACGGGTATGTTTCTGAGAAACTCGCAGTTGTGTTCTCTTCGTGAAAATCTTAAAATTGCCACCAGCCACCACCGCCATTGTCGCTTCCGTTCTGTTGTTCATGGCACCGGCGGTATGTGTCACACGTATATGTTCGTCATCGGCCATCGGCTCATGATCATAGCCGTACAGGAGTCGGGCCCAGACTGGGCAGTATGTCTGTAAGTTTGACGTGCACTTCTGCAAGCTGGCGTCACACTGACGAACTTTCAGACTGCTCTTTCTCTCAAAGCTGTACCAACAATTTCTCGATCAGCAATGTCAGCACACTGAGAACTCTGTACAGATACGCCAATTCGGTACTGTTCACCCTGAACAACCGTGCCATCATCAAGTCTACGCAAGATGAAGACGGAAGAACCGCCATCATGCTCAGCCCGACCGTCACCCACTTGCACAATCACAATCATCCACTGGAAATTGTGGCAGATGAACAGCGCAGCCCGATTGTCATCTCTATCGTTCGGGAAGAAGACGTCTATACCAGCGCGGTCAAGCATGAGGAAAGTGTAAGTTCTTCGATGGACCTTTTTGAGTTGGAGTAACATCCAGATAATCTGTCCTTTCACCTCGTAGGTATGATCCGCCGCCGCCAGTAGGAAGGCCGACTTTCGTGAACGACGTGACAGAACGCTATAGACTCACACCGGCAGCTTACAAAGTACTGTAATCTCCCGTGAACAAATTCAACAATTCTTTTGAACCTCCACGGGCTCTCGGCTATCCTTGTCTGACGAGTACTGGCGGCCGCGTGCTTCTCGTACTATTTGTTCAATGTCATCTGCTTGCAAGTGTGCATTGATGTGCCAGGTCCGGACATGTCGACAAGCTCTAGTTTTAGTGTAAAAGTGCGCCGTTTCTTCAGGATGATTGAACACGAATTTCTCGACAAAGAGTTGTTTGCGCGAACGAGAGTCTGGAACTTCTGACAGGCGCTTACTATGCGTTGGTTGACCGCAAGCATTTCCGACTTCACCACCGCGACCGTCAGCACTACACCGGCTTTTCTTCCACCTTATTTATTCTCTGCTCAACGCACTGGCTTGCATGATGACTTTGAGAATCTTAGCCACCGGGCAGCACATGACGATGCTGTATGAGTAAGCTTCTGATAGCGTATCGCTCGGGCACTGTGTCGCAGTCTGCCCACACTTCAACCAGCACGTCCTGAACGCATCGAACGACCCTCACTCGGTTCTCATTTCACAAAATGGACACCCACCAGCGAACACGCCAGAGCAAACAGCCCCTCGTGCTCACCGCGCTCGGCACAGTCGTCGCTGCGTTCCTCTTCTGGGTGGCGTTCCTCCGACCCGCGCCCGCCCCTGCGCTGCCGGTCGTAACCAAGGTGCGTGCACGCAATCCCATCCTTTCCTCGTTCTCATTCAGGATTGTTCCCCTCCACCACAACCAGGCCGTTGCAGTGCTCAAAGGTGACTCGGGTGCGAGCGGCACAGTGACGTTTGCACAGACAGCGCCGACCGCGCCGGTCACGATCACCGGCGAACTGCGCGGGCTCGACCCACGCGCGGAGCGGGGTTTCCACATCCAGTACGTCGCGCTGTCCCAGCCGATCTCTCAGACCAGTCCCGTTGACATGCGCTAGCACTTCCGGCGACCTCTCCGCCGGCTGCGTCTCTGCCGGAGCGCACTACAACCCTCTGGAAAAGACTCATGGCGCGCCGACCGCTGATGAGCGGCACATCGGCGACCTCGGGAACGTTCTGAGCGACGCACAGGGCGCGGTGCAGCTATCGATGGAGGACAAGCTGATTTCGCTGAACGGGCCGCTGAGCATTGTCGGGTCTGTCTAGGCGCTATGTACGCATGTCTTTCCTGACGCTGACGTTTCGTGTCTGCCTCCAGCCGTGCAGTCGTTCTTCACGCGGTAAGTGGTCGAGTTCCCTGCATCCATTGTCTTGCCATCTCATGTCCTCATAATCGCTCCTTAGGGAACAGACGATCTGGGAAAGGGCGGAAACGAGGACTCATTACAGACGGGCAACGCGGGTGGCCGTGTGGCCTGCGGTGTCATTGGTAGGCTTCATTTGCTTTCCGTACGCTCGCGTTTCTGAGACCCCAGCATTCACCAGGTATCTCTCAGTAATTGTTCACAGATCCTGACCACGTCCTGTAAAACTTTGTATGTCTCACAAAACATCGGATCTGCACTTCATCTCGTCTCATGCGGTTCCACTGCGTGGCTTTATGTCTCAATCGATGGGATACTGAATGGGTAACGGGCGGCCCGTATTGCAGTTTTTGTGCTATCTCAACCGTGAAATGGACTTCGCCCGGCGATTTACTGCGCACTATGCCCATGCACATGTCGCATTGATTTGAAGTGCAGACTGCATGTTCAGCCCGGGGCGATAAACCTTAACCTTGATTTGGTTCTATAGACGCCGATCTGGGCCTCAGGTTCCAATCCATCATGTTGGACTGAACAAGCTTGACTGGCACTTGCTACACTTCGAGTGAGTCTTCATATTCACTCTAACGCTGTAAGTAAACTAAGTTTCCGCGGAAACTGGTCTGTCATAGGTACCCGGCAGAAACCCCTTCCGACGCTCGTAAACTGTCAATGCTTCCGATTACGCCTTCTTATGCGCACGGCCGACATTCCCGCGTCCCATGAACCCCCACTCAATCTGGTGCGCAATAGTGAGGTCCACGCCCAGCTCCTCCGCAAACTGCCACACCGTCCCTGGGTTCTTCTGGAACTGCCTCGCGACGAACACCACGTCCGCTTGGCCCTGAAACACCACGTTCCATCAGCCCAAACCTTCAACACACCACAATGCCCTTGCTCACCTTGTCCAGCACGTTCTGTGCGGTGTGTCCGTCCGAGACGGCTCCGACAGTCGCGACGCGGATGCGGTCGCCGTGCGCCTTCTTGACCATCTCTGCAAAGCGCGCCTGATATGCCGGCCCGCCGTCGATCTTCTGCGCGGGATGCAGTCCGCCTGTACTGACGTCGAGCAGGTCCACGTCGTGCTCTGCAAGGATACCCGCGAGGCGCACGGTTTCCTCCGCGGTCCACGAGGGCTCCTCGGAGAGGCTCTCTTCAAGCCAGTCTGTCGCAGAAATCCTGTGTGCAGCATGTGAATGAAGGCGAGATTTAGAGGCACTTGGAACACGGACCGGAGGAACAAAGGCATGTCCGGAGGGATGATGGAGCGCACGGCATCGACGACCTCGAGCGTGAGGCGGATCCGGTTTACAAAGCTCCCTCCATACTCGTCCGTGCGCTTGTTGCTCACGGGGCTCACAAACTCGTGCAACAGGTATCCATGCGCGTTGTGTATCTCGATCACGTCGAACCCCGCACGCAGCGCGCGCCTCGCTGCCTCTGCGAACGAACGCACGATCCGTTTGATGCCGTCCTTCGTTAGCTCTTTCGGCTTCGGGTACGCATCGCTGTATGACAGCGCGCTCGGCGCCCATACGTCGTTGGGCCAGCCACCGACGAGTGCGGTGGCGGTGGCGCCTGCGGAGAGCCAGGGCGCCACGGTGGACGCCTTGCGCCCGGCGTGTCCGAGCTGGATGCCGATCTTCTGGTTCTGCGAGTGCGCGAAGGTGACGATGTCTTGGAGTGGGGGGATCTGCTCGTCGCACCAGAGGCCGGAGTCTTCGGGAGTGATGCGGCCCTCTGGGGTTACTGAGGTGGCCTCGATCATGCTCAGGCCGGGACCGCGCTGGATGATGCCACCGACTGTGGGGATGTGAGTGGGTGTGCGTTAGGACGTGAAAGGTAGAGGGGTCCGCACGGTGGGCGAAGTGCCAGGGAGTGAGCTTGCCATCCTGGGCGGAGTACTGGCACATCGGAGAGAGCTACGCGATGTTGCCACGCTGTGGATCAGCATGTTCTGGGCGAATATCAACGCATATATTCACCCATATGCGGTTGTGGAGCTCGAGGCCGCGGATTTTGAGGGGCTGGAAGAGCGTGGGGATCGGCTGCTTCCCTGTGTCCACAGCGGTACCGGAGGCGGGGTACTGTGCGGGCGTATAGTAGGGCACACGCGGCGCCGGAGGATTTGTGATATTCACGTCGCCCATTTCTGCGCTAGTGTATGGCAAGAGGAGAGTCGAGGAGAGTGACGCTCGAGGGAACGGAGGATCCGTTCGTGTTATATAAAGCGGTCGAGCGTAGCTGACAGGCTCGGACTCGGTTGACGTCGATTATGTTTAGCACGGCAGTTTCTCATGCTCCATATCAAGGTTTAAAGGTGCCCGTGGGGGGTACGTCCACAAGACTTGTTTCGCCATCCATACAGAAGTAATTTTCTATCTGCTTGTGCAGCACCTCCAGCCGATGATGCATCCGGATTCCGAAGACGTTGTTTCAGCATCATGCATCGTTGTTCCGTGTTCGTCATGGGCCTGCTTGTGCCAAAGGCATTCGCAACCTATTCGAACAAACCCTCTCGTTGAAACTATCTGTACCTGTCGCGTGGACGGAGAGCACACCCCCAAGTGTTGTCAGCATATACGAGCACATAATAACCGTTATAGCATGAATGCGACGCGTGACGTCACGCGTGTTCTTGTCTCACGGGCGTCGGCTTGAACCCACGTATCGATATGCTCATGCGGACTTTTTTCTCTTCAAATTTCTTTTTGCTCGCAGTTGGACTAGATAGTGTCTGACACTTTTTTTAAACGACCGCTACTCAATGCCTGAACGACCCCTCTGGCCTCCTGGGCTTCCCCAACGTTATCGGGAGAGCGCCGATAGCCATCTCGTGTACTGATAGAGACGTAAGGGATACATTCGTATCAGGTGCTGTTCGCACTCACGAAAACTCAGCATCGGTCAACCTACGGTGACCCATCATGCATATGCATCAGCTTCATCGACTCACTGCAGACATGAAGCGATTTGCGCATGTGGCAAATGCTTAGCAAATGTCGACAGGTTTTTTGCCTTTGTGATCTCAATTTGCTACGGTTCCGTCCCACATTCCATATTAAGTATTTGCATATAATATGTTGGAGGCAGAAATTTAATATCATATATTTAAGAAATGACACCATTTTCAAACTCACCAAATACATTTAGAATTTGAGTGCTGTTGAATGTAAT